GGGGTAAAATGAAATAGATCTTTCAATTCAATTAAATCTTTATTGCCAGACTTTATGTCCATAAAAAACAAGACAAAACACAATCTATAAACCTTAATAAAAATATTAAAAATATTAAACATTTGTAAAAATATAAAACCAAAATATACATAAAATACACAATTAGTTAGAAGAAATCAATAAATACACAAACACTTCAACTAATGCTTAATGCTCTCCGACTGGATGATTAACGGGAACCACTCGCTGTCGGATCTGTGGGTTCTAAAATTATACTGTTACTAGAGCCATCCAGTCGTTCTCTAAAATTGAACATTAACTTTCTTAAACGTGCTCTAAAAAGTCCAAACACCCACAGCTACAAATATCTGACTGGCACTACCCGTTCTAGGTATCGTACAAAGGATTCTCATTGCGCAGCACGGCAGCACAGTGGAAAGGGCTGTGTTTTTATCATCAGCGTGACAGTGCCGTGCCGCCTTTGCCCAGGGAAATGAGCCCGCCAGCGCTCTCTAGCGGCCGCGATAAGGAAAGGTTGCTCTTCATAGAGGACTCACGCTGGGGGAGACGTTTTCTGGTCGACTCCGGCTCCCAGAAGAGCCTTGGGAACTCTTGTGTCGTCTTTGCATACCTCCGCAATGGTATATTATTTAATCTTTAAAAGTACCACCAGTTTGAGAACCGCTGCATTAAACAAAACTACTTTAACTAGAAGTGCACGAGAGCTGAATTTAGGTGCAATAGTATTTCCCTCCACATAGAGCTTACACTGTCGTCTGTATATGTCATCGTCATCATTTATTTGATCAGTAATAAAGCGACTGAGGTATTTCACCTTTTTATGAACTTCAAGAGTTTTTGGGACAGTTTAAACAGGCAAATTTAGCTGTTTGTCCTGCTTGGTTCTATATATCAAAACACCACTTTTAACAGCATTGTACTTTATATCATATTGCACACCATACTCAGTACAGATATTAAGAAGCTCCTGTAACCCAGCACTGCTTGGACTAAAAACAACCACGTCATCTGCATACATAAGATGATTTATCAATGTTTTACATCCAGTGTTACATCACAACCATCACTGCTGCCCTCCACCAGTCAGGGCTGTATGGCAGAGTGGCCCGACAGAAGCCTCTCCTCAGTGCATGAGACGTGAAAGCCCGCATGAAGTTTGCTAAAAAAAACAAAACAAAACACCCAAAGGACTCCAAGATGGTGAGAAATGAGATTCTGTGTTCTCATGAGACCAAGATAGAACTTTTTGACCTTAATTCTAAGTGGTATGTGTCAGAATCAGAATCAGAATGGGTTTTATTGCCAAATGTTGAGCAGGTTTACAACATTAGGAAATTGCTGCGGTGCTTCAGTGCAAACATACTGTCATAAATTGCGCTTAAATAGACATGAAAAAATAAAAGTAAGAATAAGAATTAAAAGTGCTACGTAGAAAGATATATACATGAGTGCAGGTGGTGATCAGTGCCAAAACATGGAATGATGCAGTGAACACAGCGTAGGGTCATGTGTTAGTGGTGGGAACAGTCGTACGTTTATTGTTCATGTGTCCAACAGCAGAGGGGAAGAAACTGTTCTTATGGCGAGAGGTTCTGGTGCGAATGGACTGGAGCCTCCTGCCTGAGGGGAGCAGGTCAAACAGACTGTATCCAGGGTGAGAAGGGTCAGCTGAGATCCGAGCTGCACGCCCCAGTGTCATGGACGTGTACAGGTCCTGCAGAGATGGGAGTCTACAGCCAATCACCTTCTCAGCAGAGCGCACAACACGCTGCAGTCTCTGTTTGTCCCTGATGGTGGCTCCAGCGTACCACACGGTGATGGAGGAGGTGAGGATGGACTCGATGATTGCGGTGTAGAATTGCATCATCGTCCGTGTTGGCAGGTTGAATTTCTTCAGCTGCCTCAGGAAGTACATCCTCTGCTGGGCTTTCTTGATGATGGAGGTGATGGTGGGCTCCCACTTCAGGTCCTGAGTGATGGTGGTACCCAGGAAGCGGAATGAGTCCACAGAGGTGATGGGGGTGTCAGTCAGGATGATGGGGGGGAGTGGGGCTGTGTGCTTCCTGAAGTCCACAATAATCTTCACTGTCTTCTGGGCATTCAGCACCAGGTTGTTGTGGCTGCACCAAGACACCAGACGTTCAACCTCCCTCCTGTAGGCAGACTCATCCCCGTCCGAGATGAGCCCAATAACGGTGGTGTCATCTGCAAACTTGATTAGCTTGACAGACTGGTGGGTGGAGGTGCAGCAGTTGGTGTACAGGGAGAAGAGCAGGGGAGAAAGAACACAGCCCTGAGGGGAGCCGGTGCTGATGGTCCGGGAGTCCGAGACATTCTTTCCCAGCCTCACGTGCTGCTTCCTGTCCGACAGGAAGTCAGTGATCCACCGGCAGATGGGATCAGGCACATTCATCTGGGAAAGCTTGCCTCGGAGATGGTCTGGAAGGATGGTGTTGAAGGCAGAGCTGAAGTCCACAAACAGGATCCTGGCGTAGGTTCCTGGGGAGTCCAGATGCTGCAGGATGAAGTGTAGGGCCATGTTGATGGCGTCATCTACAGACCTGTTGGCTCTGTATGCAAACTGCAGGGGGTCCAGGAGGGGGGCCGTGAGGGTCTTGAGATGGGAGAGAACCAGGCGCTCAAAAGACTTCATGACCACAGATGTCAGAGCCACGGGTCTGTAGTCATTTAGTCCAGTGATCCTAGGTTTCTTGGGGACAGGGATTATGGTAGAGGACTTGAAGCAGGCAGGCACATGACATGCCTGCAGTGAGGAGTTGAAAATGCCAGAAAACACTGGGGCCAGCTCGTTTGCACAGTGTCTGAGGGTGGCAGGAGACACGCCGTCTGGGCCGGGAGCTTTTCGAGCATTCAGACTCATAAACTGCTTCCTCACATCTGCCTCATGAATATGAAGAGTTGTGGTGGGAGGAGGTGGTGTGAAATCCTCTTTTGTGTGGGGTGAGGAGGGGGGTGTTGTAGGTGAAGCGTTTGAAGGTGGTGATGGCTCTATGGAGGGGGGAGAGGTGGGGGAATTAGTGTCTAAAGTGCTTCTATTGTTGGGGCCGTTGGAGGTGTGAAGGCTGCCTGATGGCTCGTCAAAACGGCAGTAAAAGTCGTTAAGGGTGTTGGCCAAGAGCAAGTCATCAGTGGAGTGGGGGGTTTTAGGCTTGTAGTTTGTGATATTCCTAAAACCTTTCCACACAGAGGCCGAGTCATTCTCTGAGATCTGCTGCTGCATCTTCTCAGAGTGCTGATGTTTAGCAATGTCCACTTCTTTAGTGAACCTGTACTTGGCCTCTCTGTAGCAGTCCCTGTTTCCGCTTCTGAACGCCTTACTCTTTTCCAGCCACAGCTTTTTGAGTTTAGGAGTAAACCAGGGTTTGTCATTGTTATAACTCACCCTGGTGCGTGATGGCACAATGCTGTCCTCACAGAAGTGGATATAGGAGGTGACAGTGTCCGTAAACTCGTCCAAGCTGTTAGAAGCAGCCTTCATTGTGTCCCAGTCTGTGGACTCCAAACACGTGCGAAGCTCCTCCACGGCCTCGTTGCTCCACAGTTTTTTTGTCCTCATGACAGGTTTGGAGAGCTTCAGTCTCTGTCTGTACGCAGGGATTAGGTGTGATAAAACCACTGCTCATGACCTGTCCAATACAGTCCCAACAGTGAAGTATGGTGGTGGAAGCATCATGCTGTGGGGGTGTTTTTCAGCTGCCGGGACAGGACAACTTGTTGCAATCAAGGGAAAGATGAATGTGGCCAAGTACAGGGATATCCTGAACGAAAACCTTCTCCCAAGTACTCTGGTCCTCAGACTGGGTGAAGGTTTACCTTCCAACAAGACAATGACTCTAAGCACTTCTACTAAATACTGAACAAAGGGTCTGAATACTTAGGACCATGTGATATTTCAGTTTTTCTTTTTTAATAAATCTGCAAAAATGTCAACAATTCTGTGTTTTTTCTGTCAATGTGGAGTGCTGTGTGTACATTAATGAGGAAAAAAATGAACTTAAATAATTTTAGCAAATGGTTGCTTTATAACAAAGAGTGTAAAAATTATTACTGAATACTTTCCGTACCCACTGTATGTGATAATTATTATGGGTAAATTCTTCATTCATAAATGTCGATTTCTGAATATAAAGCCGTCCTTTTTCACCTTTCACAAAGAACTGTGCCTCTTCCTGTCATCTGTAAAGTTTATGGACAAAAAACAAACAGTGGATCTGCATCATATGGTTAATGAACTAAAGCTTTTAGAAAACCCCAAGGTTATAATTTTATTATATGACTTTTAATTTAAATTTTTTTTAATTTTATTTATTTCTTTAGTTGCTTATTTTTAATTTATTTTCATTATCTGTCTTTTATGACATCCTGTCGTGGTATTATCTGAAGTTGGAAAAAGTATTTGGCAATATTGCCATATTTGTTATACTTGTCTATGGAAGCCAGTTTCCGCTACTAAAAAAACAAAACAAAAACAAGTATCCATAACTCAAAATTTCGAGAAACACAAGTCGAAATTTCGAGAAACATAGCGAGTTAAGGATCCCCTTCTTTTTTTTGTGGCGGAAGTATGGAAGTATGGGCTTCCATACTTGTTACATTTGTTTAATTAATAAATATATATATATATATATTTATATATATATTCTTGTTTTTTGTCCAGTAAAATTAAACTGGGTTTAACCAAATTTTCTTGAACTAGTCCATTAGTTGCACACAAGTTTTCAAAAAGTCTGTATGCACGGGATTTATCGATTTTCACTTTATTTATTTATTTGTATTCCACTATTCTCATTTAACTTTAAGACCAAGAAACCTTGTCCTATTATTAGTCTGTGGATAGAAATGCTGCAATAAGCCCGATTTTAAAATGACTCTTATTCTGAAACGCTTCACCGGATAAGCTATGTCACGTCGAACGAATTGATTGGCTGTCTCATGCACCGGAAGCCAAACAAGGATTCGGCGTTTTGATGATCTTACGTGTCATTTCCAGAGTGTCAGTGATTCAGACCGGCTGTAGACTATTAACGAAAAAACCCAGGTGAGTTTTCATTTACTCTCACGCTGTTCGCAGACTTTAAAACCTGAGCACTAACCAGCTCCTTGTCGATTTGCGTTCATTGTAGATAAATAAAGTCAGTTCTGTCAGCTGACGTTAGCTATTTAGAGGCACTGTAAGTTCACTACAAACCAAAACATGATCATTGTCACATTTTATCTCACTGTTTCCCTTAAAAGTTAATTCATTTACGATAAGTGCTGATGTAATCTGTATAAAACGCAATATCCTTAACAGGTTGTTTTAGTAGTACCCGTTAGTTCTACCTGTTTTAATCTGTGTTTATTCCCATGTGTATCCTCGTTTTATCGCCTCTTTGTGTTGGTTGGTTCTTTGGTTTGTTTTTCGACACTTTTCAGGGACGTAAATATCACCCTATCACGTGTTCCAGACCGCCTGATAGAATGAATGAATGAAATCTGTTGATCTGAGGCGACACCATGACCTCTTCTTGTTCTTCCTCTTCTTTTTCTTCCCGACGCCACAGTGTTTGCCACAGCGATCTGCTGTCACACCAGCCATCAACATGTCATCACTACAGCTTTAAATGTTCTCTGTGCTCTTGCTCTTTTCCATCTGCCTGAAAGCTCGATATTTAACACCCTTTGTCCAGTTTATCTACTATCCCGCCTCTTGTATTTCTAACTTTGTCTCCAAACCACTTCTGCCTGAGCTCTCCCTCTGATACTCCCTCCCAATGGAAGTCTGAGCAGCTTGATCTTTATCACCTCCATGTCATTGGCTAATAATTAAGTTGAATTTAATGCAGCCAAAAAGGTAGCAAATGCCTGAATTACTGCATCCAAAAGAGTAAATGCAGTAACAAAATCACCATCACTGTGATTTTTATTGTATTATTAACTCAAGTGTACAACTGTAAAAAGCCATTTACTTTTATTCAAGGCCAGTAGATATCAGGAAAATGCTCAGACGTCTGTAACACAGATTCTTTGCTTTAACTGTAAGTGGACCAGACATGTTTACATATATAGTTACTCTAAGAAGGTCCATTTTGAATCAGGAAGACCCTGACCTAAGTTAAACACGTTAAAATAACAGTGCAGAAGTTTAGTAAGTAAGAATATAAATAAAACAAAGTGGAATTTAATCATCCATTTTCTTCTTTTCATACTATTCACCTTTCCACCCTGAATAGAATTGTGTAGTAAAATGGCTCAATAAAAATGCGACAAACCAAAGTAAACAACACAGTGGATCAGGAAATAGTCTCTGATTTGCTTATTTGTGTTTCTGTCCCCGATCACAACGTCTCCACTCTCATGTGTACATAAATGTTATATTTTTATACTTTAGGAGGGCAAAGAAGTTCACATTTAGAGGTCAGAGAGGGAGAGAATAATTTTCTTCAAAGTAAAAAAGTGACTGTATTTGAAAGTCACTTTTAATTTTAAATCCAAAACAGAAACGAGCATGACTGATTTTTTTCTGTCCTTTAGAAAATGTCTGATTTTAATGATGAATGTGAATCTGGTCTTTTCAGGGCATCAGCATCTGGTTATTGATGAACTTGGGTAACTGTTGGTAACGGCAGAATCATGAAGGCTTTGATCCTAGTGGGGGGGTACGGGACCCGACTGCGACCGCTCACCCTGAGCGTCCCAAAACCCCTCGTGGAGTTCTGCAACAAACCCATCCTGCTGCACCAGGTGGAGGCACTGGTGAAAGTAAGGCATGGATATCAATGAGGATTTAATGATGCTACTGAGAGGTTATTTTGTGTTGTAGTCATGAGTCACTGTCTCTGTGTGTTTTCAGGCTGGGGTGGACCATGTGGTTCTGGCAGTGAGCTACATGTCAGAGCTGCTGGAAAGAGAGATGAGAGTGCAGGAGCAGAGAGTACGTATGACAACCTGCACTGTTACAGCAAAAACCACCAGGTTTCTCCTGCATGGAGGCTATATGATGGATTTATTAATCAGGATATCATTTACTCAGGTGTAAATGTGCACAACAGTCACTGTTGAGTATGTTTGGTTCCCTTTTCAAGAAACTTTCGGCATCTCTGCTTATTTTTCTTGTTCTAGTGTATCCAGGATATTCAGAAAGTCGGTAACAGGTTTTAGGTTTACGATTTCTCAAGACAGAGAGAGTTGGACTGGAACGGACTGTTTCCCTTGAATGCAGAATTGTCAATAAAACACAACACTCGTGAGCACAGTCACCGTGTGTGTCGTGTACTTTACAATCTTTAATCAGCGTGACTTCCGTTTTGTGCTTGAACAGGACCTCAAAGACTCGGTTGTTGGACTTGTTGGATTTCTGTATCTCTGGTCACATGTTAGGAAATAGATTCAGGAGACATTCATTTGGATTAATGTGTGATTCCTAACTGAGCCCAAACATTAAAGTTGAACCTGTCTGTTTTTTGTTTTCTTCTCAGCTCGGGATTCGTATCTCTCTGTCTCATGAGAAGGAGCCTCTGGGAACAGGTGAGCTTGTCTTTACTACAGACAGATCCAGATAAGCGTAAATGGCTCTCTGCAAGTATCCAGTAATTCAACATCGATTAACTCGTCTTTTAAAAACCATAGTAAATTATTGTGAACCATATAAAACTATGTTTGTGCACAGCGGGTCCCCTGGCGTTGGCTCGAGACTTGCTGAATGATGACAGTGAGCCGTTCTTCGTTCTCAACTCAGACGTCATCTGTGATTTTCCGTTCAAAGATCTGCTGCAGTTCCACCACAACCACGGCAAGGAGGGAACCATTGTGGTGAGAGAGACTGTCCAAGTATTTCCTATGCTTAGCTGCTGCATATTGACAGGTTTTTATTAGTTTTAGGTGGTATAAGGGAAGCTTACTACTGTGGGGTCATACTCTGTGTGTGCGTGTGTGTGTGTGTGCGTGCATGCATGAAGGTAACACGGGTGGAAGAGCCCTCTAAGTACGGTGTGGTGGTGTATGAGGCGGACAGCGGGAGGATCCATCGCTTTGTGGAGAAACCACAGGTCTTTGTCTCCAACAAAATTAATGCCGGCATGTACATCTTCAATCCCAGCATGCTCAGCAGGATCCAGGTGAGGAGGCTCTCGCACTCACTCATAGTGTCGATGTTAGTGTGTTATTTAGTAAAGTCCATCTGTGTTTCCCACAGATGGACTTTACCTTGGTGGGCCAGCCTGTTAGTATCTGGTATTATTGAAGACTGAAAGCTGAAAGGGAGCTCCCTTTCAGCTTTCAGTCTTCAATCCAAACTTTCAGCCTTAGTTTGGATCAGAGCGAAGAATGCATCTGGGTCACTGTTCAGCCTATCATTGTGGCAGTCACTGATATCATTCAGCTTCTTGATCAGAGCTCATCCTAGATTCAGATGTACTCAGACTTCACTATCTTGGACTGTAGCTAGTGATTGCAGTCCTCCTGCTCTGAATATCTCCTGCGAGACCCTGGGTCACTCTAACCCGAGCCTACAACAGGTTTGTGTGTCTGTAAATCTGCCAGCAGGATGAGACTCACTGGAGAGGCACCTGATTATGTGTGAATCTGTGGGAAACACTGAGTCTGAAGACACTATAGTTTTGTTTATTTTTTTTGGATCATGTTCATGACTTTTTTTTATGCATTCTTTTTGCAGCTGAGACCAACATCCATTGAAAAAGAAATATTTCCTGTCATGGCAGGGGAGGGACAGCTGTATGCCATGGAGCTGCAAGGTAACTAATACTAATATTAAGACTGCAGTACTACAGCACAGGACTCTTCTCCTCCAGTGGCGTAGTGGTCAAAAAGTCACTGGTTTGATTCCAGCTGGAGACACAAATCCTCTTTGGGGTTGCGTCAGAAAGGGCATCCTGCGTTTAAAGAAAATCTGCCAAATCAGACATGTAGAGCTGCCCACTGTGGCGACCACTGGTGGCAGGGAAGTAGCCGAAAGTAGCTTCTACTACAGCACAGGACTGTAAAGCTGCATGTGAGATCTGAACATTCAGCTTTTGCCCAAAATAGGGGCCCGTGGAGAAGATCGTATTAATCAAAATGATGCAAGTCAGTTCATAAAAGTATACAGTGGTGACCTCACCTTTTTCTTAACACAGCAGTAGGATCAGTAGGATGGAAATGTATGGTTTGAAGCTGACCTGTGTGCTTGATCTGGTCTCTGCAGCTCACAGCTCCACCAGACGTAAGTGTTTGGGCTTTTCGTGTAGGTCTGGAGAGGAAACGTTTGCAGAAAAGCACCACTAACCTTTATGCTCAGACCTAAAGGTTCTCTAGAGTTCTGATACAGATGTTTAAAAAGAAAAACCCCAACAAAAAACATAAGAGCTCACCAGCAGGAGGAATCACTAGTTGGTGCTTCTCTACATCCTCATTCCTCTCTGACATCCTTTGGCTTTGCTGAAACAGTGGAACCACGTAGTGAAACCTCCACCCCATCCTGACCTGTAGTCCAGGCAGGCTTACTGGTCCCAGTCAGTAGTGGATTTCCCTTTAGAAGATGATGTGATTCATCATGTTTAAGTAGTAACAGAAGGTCCTCGAGATTAGCGGCGAAGCATTTACAAAACTTAAGAATCACAGGATAAATAAAAAAAGATGGGCTTGATTTGTTCTTTAAATTTTCTTAGAGGAGTAGGAATTTGTACAAGTGACCTAAATTCTGTTTTGTCTTTGTAATAAATATGGACAAACCTATGTCGGCCTAAAAGGTTAAATAAATTCATTACATTTTAATAACTGATCTCTGGCTAGTTTATGCTTGAATAAATAAATAAATTCAGGTTAAATCTGTATGTTAATCAGAAACCAGAAACCCTGATGTTTTTTTTTTTATGATGCTGGTGCTCGTAAAAACCCTGATTAATGTTGTTCGTACCAGTCGTGCTTTCCTGTGTTTTTATTCAGGTGTTTGGATTAATCTTTTTTCAGGATTGGTATTTATTGAATTATGAATTGATGGTGATTTTTCTCCCTCTTTTTTGTTTTTTTTGTTTTTAACAGAGATCTGTAGAAAATCCATCAGTCTTTCCAGTGAAAATGTGGCTTTTTTTAACCCACTGAACTGCATTTTTAGTTTAAATCTGTATCTCTGCTTGTCCTGGTTTCCACTTTTGCCCCCACAGCCTAACCAACGGTAAGGGGGTGACACCATGTTGCAGTGGTTAGCACTGTTAGACGCTGGGTTCGAACCTTCTGGTTGATTTCTGTGTGTTTGTTTGCTCCTGAAATTCATAGACTGCGGTCATACTTGTTAGGTTATAACTGGTGATTTTGGTGGCCGTAGGATTAGATGTGAGGGTGCCTGTTTGCCCCGGTGTTCTCCGCCTCTTCTCTCTTGATCCTGCCCCCTCACAACACTTGGCTGGATATTTGGTTGAGGCAGATGAATGATTTGTGCAGCTATTAGAACAAATGCTGAAAACTCTGCTGGCAGTTATGTAAAATTTATGGCAGAGTTTGCAGTCAGCAGATTAATGTCTGCCTCTTACTGTGACCTCATTCAGTGAGTCACCTGTTAAAGATCACTAGGAGCTGCCTGGTTGTTTTCAGGCTTTCACCTTCCACCCTCTGTCCGTCTGTCTGCAGGTTTCTGGATGGACATCGGCCAGCCTAAAGACTTCCTGACAGGGATGTGTATGTACCTCCAGTCAGTACGACAACACGCACCTGAGAGGTTACGCACAGGCCCCGGTTTCCTCGGCAACGTCTTGGTGGTGAGTGCACTTTGTTGATGTGACATCAAAATAAGGGCTTGTACTTCATGATAATGATCATTCCCTTTTCTTCTTCTCTGAAGGATCCCACAGCACAGATCGGGGAGAACTGCACCATCGGCCCGAATGTTACCATCGGCGCCGGCGTTGTCGTGGAGGACGGCGTGAGGATAAAGAGGTGCACGGTGCTGAAAGGGTCGAGGGTTCGATCGCACTCGTGGCTGGAGAGCTGCATCGTGGGGTGGAGCTCGTCAGTCGGCCAGTGGGTGAGTGGGAAAGATGTGTGGACGTTCTTGGTTCATTCATTTATTGTGAGACGCAGCTAATTGTGTCTCTGTCTGTTTAACAGCAGATCTCACTTGTGGTGATGTTTGTACTCTATAACTTAGCCTAGTTTTCTTTTTTTCTTTTTAGACCTTGTATCTGCTTACGCACTCATGGATATAATTTATTGGAATTGCTTAAACTTGTCTGTTTTTTTGTTTGTTTTGTTTGTTTTGTTTTTTTGTCTTAAAGTAATAACCAAATGGGACTTTTGGCCAACTTCACAGTTCACTATTATATCTATACTTTTCACATAACTTATAATAGCTAACGCCAGAGAAGCAGTAGGAGAACAGAAGGAGTACTGAAAGCTGTGGCAGCCGTACTCTTTCTGTCTACTTAAATCCTCTGTTTCATCTCGTACAGCACATGCACAAAGACTTGTCACGTGCGATGGTAGATGACTTGTGTCTTAATGTGCATCCTCAGGTGCGTATGGAGAATGTGACGGTGCTGGGGGAGGACGTGATCGTCAATGATGAGCTTTACCTGAACGGTGCCAACGTCCTGCCTCACAAATCCATCAACGAGTCAGTCCCGGAGCCGCGAATCATCATGTAGCGTCAGGTGGAGGAAAAATCCCAGCGCCTTTTATATGAAGACTATGAGGAAGACCCAAACTGTGCCAGAGAAGAGGGAGGGACATTCAGGCAGTTGAATGGAAGCAGGAGGAGGAAGAACAAAAGGCTTCTTTGTCTTTCTTTTTATAAATTAATTTGGACTTGTTTTAGCCCTGCTTGGCTGCATTTGTCAGAAAAGGTGACGTGTGTCAAGGAAGGTTTCTTAAAGTACTGACAGGTCAAACTCTCATGTTGGCAAATATGAGAAAAGTCGAGAGAGGGGGCTTCTTGGTGGAGTAAAGATCAGTATACTGAGAGGGAAGGGGGAAGTGGGTGTGTGAATATATGAACACTGCTGGTTAGATTTACTATGCATTTACACTTCCTGAAAAGAACAATCAAACCACAGCTACAGGTTGATGTCATGACTGATGCTCAGATTCTGATCTGACTTATTGTGAAACATAATGCAGTATTGGTCACAGTTAAAGGTCCAGTGTGTAGGATTTCTGATGCTCCATTAACATAAATGTAATCCAGGATTTATAACTAGTGTTTCTACTGAAGACCAAAAAGGACAAACAGCACTGGCTATAAGTAAATGGAACTGAAGGTGCTCCTACATTGTTGTAAACAATAGACTGTATATCAAAGATGGACAATACCACCACTGTTTGCTTGTGGAGGCTGCCACGTTTTTGTTTTTGTTTTGTTTATTTGGAAGTAGAATATTTACTTACAAAAGTGTGAAGTTGTGAGCTGGGTCCAGCAGAGGTGAAGACTAGGAAAGATGAGACCACTGTCAGCACACTGTTTAATCCACGCCACACCCCAATTTTAAGCCTTGGCAAAATCTTAATGGTTGAATTATATTTAAATATATAAAAATCACTGTCCGTACAGTTGTTACCAACCTGCAAATGTGTTTATTTCTGCTGCTTGTTGGAAACAAAGGGCGATTCAGTATCTTGCAATCTACAACTTCACCACTAGATGTCGCTAATTCCTACACATTGGTCCTTTAAAGCCATAGCAGTTTATTATTGAGGGCAGCAGAGCAAGCTGTAAGCAACTTCATGGAAATGTGAATGTTTTGAGTTGGAAGTCATGTTTGCATCTACCTGAATGTAATTGACATCAAATAACACTCAATAATTTGATTTGTTTTTATACGGAAATACCAATGACTGCAGCTTTAATCATGGGAAATGTTGGTTAAGTCTTGTGTTCTTGATGAGCTTTCCAGGTTTCTCTGTTCTTTGAAATGGCTTGTTTCAATGTCAGACGAGTTAATGATCATCAATATGTGCTCCAATACTGTAGTGGGTGAGCTGACAACTTTATAATGTGGACAACTTTAGTCTTTAAGATTAATTTTACATTATAAATAAATATACAGCGCTGTCTAAAAGTTCCTACTCCACATGAAGTAAGCAGAAACGTGTTTTGGTTTTGTCACAAATTAGGCAATGGCCATCAGATGCAATAATCCTCTTAAAGGTGAGAAAAGCAGATAAGGAAAGGTTTTCAGTATACTAAAAACTTCAAAGGAACAGGAGTATAAGTCATTGCTTCCTGTCAGGGTTTTCAGAGTAAAAATACTTAGATTGTAAATTAGCTTTCAGCCTCGAGGAGAAGACGCAGCCTAATTTAGGACCAGTTTCTTGCATTGTCACCAAAAATAATAGTACTGAGGCCAAAAAGATGGAAAGCGCATGGCACCATGAAATTACTGGACCTTAAGTTGGAACCACTGACATCACTGAAGTCCACCAATGACTGACGGATTTCTTTCCAACTAAAAGTAGGGGCGTGACTCCAAAAGATCATCATATAATCTCATGACCAGACTGCCCAAAACTAAAAATGTATCCGACCATCAGTAAACTTTATAAACTTCATGAATTTGACATTGCATCAGTAAATCATAACATTTTCAGTATCACTAATGTTGACACTCATTCTGTGTTCAGTATTTAATTTGTACAATAATCTGTGTATATAATTAAAGAGACAACTTTCAAACAAATCTAACGCTAACATTTTAGCCATGTGTCATTTACTGCTACTAGCATAAAAATCAGATGATTTTGAGCTTTTACAAACAAATGTAAAGTAAAAGTAAACCGAGCCCAGTGTAAATCCCCTCTGTCATTAGAACTACTGAAACTTTTCTTTGACTTATTTCAGGGTCATAATTAAACACTCGCATTCAAATTTCTGAGCCAGAAAGAATCCTTGGAAATGAGAAACCTTCAGTAAAGAACTGTTAATCAGCCCTGTGCTAAGACTGGAAAAGTTGTTGGTGTTTTCACATAGCAGTTTCTCCTTAACTGCTGATAAGACAGACATCTCTCCCCTGAGACAGTTTGTAAAAACAAAGTGTTTTAACTTGAAATAATTACACGCCTGAAAATCTTTTAAGGGTATCTGTTCTGCTTTTCTGGGTTTTTTTTTTTTTTTTAATGTTACTGGGTCAGATTTTCATATTATATGTGAACAAAATAGACGTTGAAGGTCCAGGGTGTTTTTGTATTTCTTTACATACTAAATGGGGACAGTTCACAAGCACTGGGTAAACCCCTCTGTAGGCTTCCAAGTGCCAGCCAGTCAGCAGATGAGGGGTTTAAAGTTTGAACTGAGGGGCTGCACAAGGGACTGGAATAAGAAAAATAAGGATTGTTTTTAAACTTTGAATCATTCTGTGATACTGGAGTGGAGTCAAAAAGCATAGAGCAGCAAATTAACAATATAAATGCAACAGGTCGCCTTTAAATAAATGCTCTCCTGTGGGAGGTTACTGAAACTGGTCAACAGGTTAGTCCTGTGTTAGTCCACACTCAGCGCTGGTGTATCGATGTAAAGCAGTGATTCTGCTGTTTGTGGTGAGCACTATTAAGAGCTTAATGTGCAAAAGAGTTTGAGTGAAGGAAGTTGGTCTTTGTAAAAAAATGTTTTTAATTTCTGAAAGGAAAAATATAATCTACTGACCACTGCAACACGTCTGATCTCGTATTATTCGATGTTTAACAGGTGAAGGTCACAGTAAATCTCATGTCAGTGATAAAAATTATCACCACAGTTAGATTCGCCTTCCTGGTCTCTCTGCTTTACCCATGAAATGTAAAGGGCATGAACATGTTTTTCTTAAAACGTCACAAGCCTTTGTGAATGTTCTAATTTTAATTTAGAGATATAAAAACTTTATAGAGTCAAAGGTTGTTTATCATTTTTACCTGATGTACATAACATCTGAAAGAATGTTTTACATTTAAATCCAAATCTGTTGGTTTTACAGACACTTTTGAGCTTCGTTAGATTACTTCACTAGACTACCATAGAAATTGAAATGTATACACAATTACATTTTGTTTTTGCATCTAAAGTATATTTGTATCTAAATAATACCAATTTAAACATTAAATTGCACTAAAAAAGTCATAGCTTTTTATTATTACGTTTAGTAAAAAAACCAACTCTTGCACACTTGACGTTTGGATGGATCAGGGTGTGTACCACACTCAAAAAGTCCCTGTTATTGGTCCAAAAACGAAAAAATATTGATGACACACAGAAATGTAAAACTACATTTTCACAGATACAATTATTAAAGCTTGTAAGACTGACTATTACCAGTTAAGCCAAGTTAGTTTATATGTAGAGCCCATTATCTCGCCTAAAAGGCTTTATAGACACATGACACAGACAAACATATTAAAACAAGAAAGAAAATATACAAGTAATAAAATCTAAAAGGCTTTCAGTGTCTTTTAACATTAAAAGAAAAACCCTAATAAGCTATTGAAATGTTTAAATTCTTAAATAAAACTCATCAAAACTCAGAGATTTCTGAGTGGAAATAAGAGCTAGCTAAACCAAAAACCTGTAGATAAAGAGGGCGTGTGCTGTTCCACTCTCACAGTCACAGGTAAAATCTTCCTTGGTACTTTATTGTGCGTGCCAATGTAAGGAAACAGCTTCTCAGTGAAACTGAGTTTGAAGGTGTGTATGTGTGTGCTGGTGTCAAGATCGAAGAATGAGAGTTTCCCTCTGTCACAGTCCAGCTGAACTTTGACCCTCTGGAGCTTCTTCACTGAGAGAAGTTTATCAGGAAGTGGTGGAGCAGCTGCTGTGTATTGTCCATCCTGGAGACATATTTCCCAGAATCCAGTCTGTAATTGTTCTTTTCTCTTAACAGACTCTATTAGCACACCGAGGCACCTGATCCCATCCTTTCTAACCTCAACATGCCAGCTGTGAGTCCCTGAGTCGAAGCCCTCGGAGCCCAGAACAATTGGATGGTGGTCGAACCTCTCTGGATTGTTGGGAAGCTGCTGTCTCTCACCGAGACTCACACTGGTCAGATCTTCTGAGAGGATGAGTTGTTGATGAGCTGTGTTTGGATCCAGAATCACTGGAGTGCAGGAGACCATCTCCTTCATGTTCTTCCAGATGTTGAAGGTTAGGTTGCCCAGGTGTTTGGCCACATCTATCAGAGCTCCTGAGACCACATGGGTGCGCTGCTGGACTCTGTTCACTGCAGGCTTGATGTTTTGCAGAAATGAGACATCTTCAGCTCTCAGGTTCTCCTCTGTGGCTCTGATAGCATCTAAAAGAGCTGCTATTTTTCTGCTCAGAGCCTCCATCTTCTCCTTGATCATCTGACTCTTCTGCTCCTCTTCTGCCCTCAGAGCAGTGATTCTTGCTTTTTCTTCTTCTTGTAGAAACTGGTGCATTTTTGCAAACTTCTCCTTGATCTTCCTCTCTGTGTGAAGGGCCTGGACTTTAATGTGTTCTCTGGTTTGATCAAAGTCTCCTTTAACTATTTTAAAGTGCTTCAGTTTCTCTTTTAAGGGCTGTAGTAACACCTGAAGCACTTTTCTGTGATCCTCCGCAGCTTCTTCGATGGTTCTGAATTTGTGTTTGTTGTGTATTTTTGAATCCCTACAAACAAGACACACTAGCAGCTGATGGTCCAGACAGAAGAGTTTGAGTTTCTCACAGTGCAGACTGCAGTGAGCCTCTGACTCCAAAGAAGCTTTTTGATTTCTCTCCAGTAAGAAAGCTTCACACAGGTTCTTTAACACCAAGTTACAGGGTGGGTCATCTGACAAATGCAAATTCTGCATTTACGTACTGGTTTCTCCTTCCACCACATTTGCAGGCAGTCTTTACAAAAGCTGTGGCTGCATGACAGCATGATGGGGTCTCTGAAGATGTCATAGCAGATCGAACAAGAGAGATTCATTTCTGACTGAGAGGACATTTTGCCTCTGAGTGAAAAAAATGCAGCTGGGTAATTAGAGACTGAAGATGTATCTTGAAACTTACTGTTCTTCCAGCTGTGGCTTCTTTAAAAGTCCTGCTCGTTATATGAAATCAGCAGCAGGTAGAAGTGGCAGTATCCCCGATAGTTAGAATTCCTCTTTGCTCCGATAGTGAATCTCAAACACACTGCTCACAAAGTGAAACTGTGACATATAACTGATGCCTGGTTTGATTCCAACTAATGTTTCTGTTGCACCTCTATTGTGGCACTTATGCTACCTTTGCCTACAAAGCCTCTTATCTGCATTTACAGTTCTTTTGTCTGTTACAGTCAACCAAAAACGGTGGAGAAGCAGAACGTTAGATCATATCTCAGCAACTGGGAGAAATTTGCCTTCAGGGATTTCTGCCTGGCAGGCTCTCTAACACCTGTCAGAGATGTATTGTAGGACACAGCATATGGAGAGGACTATGTATAGGTGACTGATTACTCGTGACAAACAGTGGAAAGTAGGCAAATAAAGTGCAGGCGACATCAATCAGAGAAACAGGAGAGAAGATGGGAAGCACAAAACAAAATAAGATACAAGAAAACTATTTTTTTTTTCATTTTTAATGCTAATCCTTACCTTAGAGATAAAAAGAGACTAGCGTACAGAAAATAACCAGAGTACCAATCAGAACAAAAAGGTAGCAAAACTCAGCGATATCACCAAAAAGTAAAATTATTGTGACAGTGTTATTGTTACATCTTGAAAAATGCATATTCGTGGATCCTTTTGATATTGTGGAAGATGAGTAATACTGTAAGATATGTTTTCACAGAATCGAAATATTCTGGGACGTCTTGAGTGATCAGTGGTTCTGAAGTCAATGTGAACTTCAAAAAAAGGTTTACTGATTATACGACACATGACTGTGAAACCAGAGCGTATGGTTGAAGTGTGACTGTGTTTAAGAGGAAATGTGTTTTGCAGTGTGTGCATGCATTTCTGTTACTGGTAGTGCCCCTCAGGATGGCGAGTCATCGCTACTTTAAACCACAGTACTTCCTTGCGTTTGAGTGGCTTCCTTGAGTCAAAAAGAAACTTTTTGTCTATTATTTGAAGATATTTTCTCTGCAGGAATGGCGGACACTGGTGTGGAACTGGACAGACTTGTTGCTGCAGTGCCCCAGAATCCAGATGAGCAACAAAAAGATGACAAATTGGCACAAACGCTGCTGTTTGTCCTCCTGACTGTAGTGCTGTATGGCATTGCTGCACAGGCTTTTTTTATTAACCTGCTTTACCACCGTGAATTGGTGAGTATCAGCTCAGTGTACTCTAGTCTTTAAATCTAAATATTTATTGCCTGCTTTTTATCCTCTCTTATTGTGACTTTAGAGGTATAAAAATGAATTGATTAACTGTAACAATTAAGCAATTGTTGTGATATATCAGCTGATAAGATAGATACTACTGTAGCACATATCTAATTGCAAAAGCTTCTATTACTTTGGGCACATTTGTTGTCAGCTTGTCTCGTTTTAACAGTCATTTGTTTATATTTTACTCAATTTTCCTGTACTTTTAAAAAAATTTATTTTATTTTTTAAAAATTCTTCTCTGTACAAGTAAACGTTGTACTCTATCATCAAATATGACGCATTGACAATTTCTTTCAAACTAATTTGTAACTTCCATTGCAGGCTGTCTCAAGACTGAACAACAGATCAGGTACACAAGTCTCTTATTACATTTAACCTTAATTCAACCATGAGCTAAAATCTCGAGACTAAGAATATCTTTTGTGAGCATATCTAAAAAACAAAACATACCCCTCCCCGCATTTTAGATTTTTGATTTCATTGCAGAACAAGATGAACCCATCCGTGGTTTTGCACATCTGACAGGATAACTTAAAATAAACAAATAAACAAACAAACAAAAACAGCATTTAGATTTTTGTTTCCATTGCAGAACAAGATGGTAGAATCCGTGGTTTTGCACATCTGACAGGTTGGATAACTTTTTTTTTTTTTTGTAAATAACACAAGTGTATACCATCCATAAATAAAATAACCGTCGTCATGATTTTCTGATTTGCACGATTTTTGCATTTGTTTCTCTAATTAACGGTCAAACTGTATAGAAAAGCCTTCATTTCCCATTGTCAGTGATAAATACTTTGTCTTGGGTGCTGTATTTATATATCAGATGTAAGGCAGCAGAGTTATATGCTGAGTATAAACGGTGAGTTTGTTTTGAAACTGCAATAAACACACCAAGATTTGATTTCAGAGAAAAAAGAAGCTAAGAAGAATATTTTTAATTTTATTCATTTGTTGGCACATTATGTGAAGAAGCCACATTAATTTAAATATTTACCAAATAAATAATAATAACACTAATAATAATGATTTGGTGAATATTATCACAAAACTAAAGTCCTGCATTATCAACTGTGTGCTATCAGGGGCATTTAGATCTTTTTTAAATGGGGTGGCACAAGACGGATGAAGAACAAGGCGAGGTGACTACAGGAAATTCAAATTTTTATGACGGCGTACAAAAAAATCTGATTAATAAAATGCTGGGTATAGTTTAGAAGCAAATGTGCGGGTGTCTTCTGTCCCTTCTGTCAGATCAACTCTGCAGTCCCTATTTCCTTTTGAACAATTCATTGAAACTAGCAGTTTCACAAAACAGATCATAACTGGCCCAAAACAGGAGCTGAACTTTACATAAATTGGTTTAATTGTTTGCCGTGTCTGACTGAAAATACACAACTTTAAATTGCTACATCCATCTTGTCTTTTATCCCTGCAGGCGGGTCGGTTCAAGAAAACGAGGTGATGCTTTGGCATATAAATAATCTGACTGTTCTCAGCGGCATGGCCTACAAAGATGGTAGGCTTGAAGTTCAGGAGGAGGGATTTTACTATGTGTATTCCAAGGTTTGCTTTAGTGACCATGGGCTCTGGAACCAGTCACCTTATTTTTTTCACCACTTTGTTATGAAATCTGCTCACCTACATGGAAATCATTATACCCTCATGCAGTCACAGAAAGAGTTACGGGTGAACTCAAGCGACTTAAACAACAGCTTTCTGGGTGGACTTTTTCATTTGCATAAAGGTGACGGAATTTTTGTGAGGATAAGGACGAATTTAAACATTTTGCAATATGATGTTTCTGAACATTTCTTTGGTGCATTCATGATGTAGCTTTACACAGCGTGAAATATCAGAACATCACCTGGTCTTTACCAGGCTCTCACATGATTTAAGTCTAAGTATAAAACAACATGACATATTACACCCAATGACTGTAGAAAACAATCATTGATCTCACTGTTTTATTATGCATTTTGCAAAAGTGTAATCAAAATGATTCAGTGGTTTGCAGACCCACCTTCAACAATAATTAGTCAATAAGTCACTACTGAGCCCAACAGATAAAACATTAGAAACTGGACTAAGAAAGCGCTATCAGTGGGTTGTGGCTGTGAAAGCATTGACATGATTGGCTGTCCTCAGGTCTTCAGGAAGGCTGTTCCACAGATGTGCAGCATAGTAACAGAAAGCTTTCGCACTGTGGGTTTTTTACATCTGACTTTAGGGACAACTTCAAAAACCTAAAAACTAGATAAAGAATCTGTTCTGAGGCTGACAATGGAGATACTTAAAAGCTGGTGTTGTTCATACTCTCTTCTGGCCTTGGTCACAACCTGTGTACCTAAGTTCTGGAGTGTAGTAGGGGGCTAGTTTGTTTTTAGGGAGACCAGAAAGTAGTGTCCCGAATTCGAAAATGTGGCACAAGACAAACCAATAGAGGCCCAGTAGAGTGAAATCAGATAGAGAGTTTATTAAAAACACACGCGTGGGAAGAAGCACACAGCATCACATCAGCAGACTTCTTCTCCCAAAAATACACAGAGAGTTGCTTTTATAACGTCAGGGTTAAACGCCCCTTCTCGCGTTCTAAGAACATAATTTGTATTTTAAGAACATCATTTGCATCTTGTACAGACAATGAGCAATTTTCAGAGCTAAAGGCAGACACAGAAGTTCCTCTTTCTAACATCTTTTTCCAAATATGCCGATGATTTCAGGCCCTGGAGGCCCCCGTGGACTTGTCCTCCTTTTGACCCATCTTCTGTCACCTATTACTAAGCAAACTCAAATGCAACAGGTTGCAACAAGAAGCTGAATACATTCAGGCCTTTGCTCAGGCCTGTTTCTAGATTGTATGTATTATATGTGTTTTGTAACCTTCTATAGCTCCAAGTCACTTACACAATAGATTGTCCGGACATCGCGCCGAACAAAGCTTACAACCTCCAATTAATTGACCGAGCTCCAACAAGCACAAAATGCAATGTGTATAAAATGGTCTTAGCTGTACCTGTAATTAGAAGGTTAATGTAATACCAACAACTTCAATAAATGTATTAATGAAATGATAATTACTTTAATTAATGCAATGGCAATGACTTAATGCAAAGTTACTTAATGCAATGATAATAATGATGAATATGAGTAGCAGTAAAATATTTTCCTTATTCCACAGTAGATCATTACAGTATTCCTTGTGTTGCTTTTTACTTTTTTAGCTTTATTTTCTCACTATTTCATTCATGTATGATGTACAACACTGTGTGTCAACTGCGGCTGTTTCAAAGAGCTTTAAAAAAACAAAAACAAAAAAACTTTGCAAGATATTGTATTACTTAGTTTTCGTAGTTACTGTTTTATACTTTGATGATCAATTAATTAAGTGGATCTGATTAGCAGCTCCTGGGTGCTACTTACCCTCTTAAATGCCATGAAAACAGCAAGGGTCTACTTTGTTTTTCACACACATTTTCTGAAGTCAACATTTGTTTTTCAAGTTTTTGGTAACAATATAAGGTAGCTATGTAATATTGTGTGATGTGTGTTTGCTTATCTGAAGTTCTACAAGAAATCTAGTAAGATTAAGGTGATTTTTTTTCATTATTTCCTGATCTGTAAAAACGAATAACTTAAAGAGGGTGTATTTTCTTTTTCATGTGCACTGGTATATGGATATTAATGGATATCACTGGATATTAATTTGCCTCTAGGTAATTTACTTATAAACGCTGTGCAGTTTAATGTCAACGAGAGCAACAGATAAACATATAACTCATGTATCTCTATACACATGGGATTGTTGTACCAATTCAAATTTTGTTCAGCTGTGCATAGATTGTGGTGTTTTTGCTTGAGTTGTATTTTTGATTTTTTGTTTTAATAAACTCCTAATACCTCGCAGCAGTAAAATATATTGTTTTTGACTGGCAGCTGATATTCTCTTCTTTTAACTTTTATCTGAAATGTTTTTCTATTCTACATTTCTGATTAAAAGTTCCATTTTATATTTGTTTTGTAATTTGCTCTACAGTACGCACCTTATTTTTGGTCTTCAATGTATAACACCATCAAAATTAATCTGGTAGCATACTGTGTTTGCTGTGTTTTCTCTGCTTTTCCTTGCACAGCTTTTGTGGTGAAAAAGCTGTTTTGAGTTTTCAAGAACATGAAGATGAAATCTTTGCTTTTTCAAACAGTCATTAGCATTGTTGCCTCACGGCAAAAGGCCCTGGGTTCAATTCCACCATCTGGCCGGGGCCTTGTGTGAAGTTTGCATGGGTTCTCTCCAGGTACACCAGCTTCCTCACTGGCTCATTAGCTATGTGCTTCTTAAGCTGCTGCAGGTGCCTCTGACTGTAGCAAATAACTCTCAGACCACAGCGCACACGTTACAGAGTAGGTGTGCATGTTTGGCAGCACGGCAACACTTCCTGTTAATAGTTTGTTGTGTGGTTTGCATGTTCAGATCAACAGCTGCACCGAGTACTTTGTACCACAGACATTTTGACTGGTCACATCATCAACAGCAAAGGTGGAATAATAATAATGATTATACCTTCGTTTGATACATGGCCTAGTAATCTGTTTACTAATGTTTTTGATCTCTCGTAGTTGACTAAATTCAAAGTCAGGGAATGTCATTTAGTTATTTATATAACACCTTTCATACAAAAGCAATTCAATGTGGTTTACGAAGACAATGAAGAGGAAAGAATTAGGATAAAAACAAAAAACAATAATAAAATAAAATGAATATTTCAAAACTAAAACTAGTTTTAGTTTTAAGACTAAAATATGTTTGCTCTACAGTAGACACCATAGTTAGGATTATACACCTGAATTAGGAGGAAGAAAACAGAATTCAATTGACTGCAATCTACTGACATCTGGTGGATCGATTTTATAGACCGTTATCACCAAAAGCTATATCCACAAGATTTTATTCCAATCGCCACTAAATATGTAATGAATAATGTTTGCCACTTTGTGAAACCGAATGATGTGGTTACATTGTAACAGACTCCCCTCTACTCCTCCACTCACCTCTCCTCTGCTGCTGAGGATAAATTCAGCCGAGTCACCAGCGTCAGAAATCACAAGTGAACAGCACCTCAGATTAGAGTCCAGATAAATGGCAGACAGAGTTCCAGTAGCAGACACATCTCTACATCAACTGTTCAGATGAGACAAATCAGGCCTTTATGGTCAAATAGCTGCTAAGAAACCACAACTAAGGAAAAGCAACAAGCAGAAGAGATTTGCCTGGGACAAGAAACACAAGGACTGGACCAGTGGAAAACTGTGCTTTGGTCTGATGAGTCCCAATTTGAGATCTTTGGTTCCACCCTTTGGTTTGTCTTTGTGCGACGCAAAAAAGGTGAACGGATGGTCTCTACATGCATGGTTCACATCGTGAAGCATGGAGGAGGAGTTGTGAAGGTGTGGGCGTGCTCTTCTGGTGACATTGTTGGGGATTTATTCAAAATTGAAGGCACACTGTACCAGCATGGCTACCACAGCACCCTGCAGCGACATGCCATCCCATCTAGTTTGCATTTAGTTGAACCAACATTTACTTTTCAATAGGACAGTGACCCCACAATGGCCTCCATAGTCACCTGACTTAAACCCAATTGAGATGGTTTGGGATGAGATGGATTCCAGAGTGAAGGCAAAAGGACCAACAAGTGCAAAGAAGTAATCAAAGCAAAGGGTGGCTATTTTGAAAAACAAAATATAAAGCATGTTTTGAGTTATTTCACACTTTTTTGTTTACTACATATGTGTTCATTCATAGTTTTTATGCATTCAGTGAGAATCTACAATGTAAATAGTCATGAAAATAAAGAAAAAAAACATTAAATGAGGTTTGGTAGTGTACATTAAAATGTATTATCTTTGTATTATCTTTGAAGTGAACATGTGCCAACCACTGGAAAGGATCACCTTGAACAAGGGTTCAAGGTGATCCTTTAATTTCTCACCTGTCTGCAAAATTACAATTTATACTAAACAAATCATTTTACCAGCTTTAAAGGTGAAAGCATACAAATGATACACACTTAAACAAACTACAATGTCATTCTGTCATCGGTGCAGCCTCATGGAGTGGCTCTTTAGGCTTTCTTTGCTTACCATAATGACAGAAGAAAAGCAGAAACTTATTAATTCTTAACATAACAAACAAAGTTAAGTTAAAGGCACACAACAAATCTGACAAAAGAGGTAATTATAGCACAATATATGTAGTACAGAGATAAGAGCAGTGCTGGGCATTATAACAGGTTCTATGTGTGACATTTTGCTGAGAGAATGTCATAAGATAAAATCAGTATGACAATGAATTCTTGCATTTACTGTCATGCTTAAATGTAGTTTTTGTGTCTTTGAAAAACACAAAGATTACACATCCCTCATCATTTTTAGTTCAGATGGCATCTAAATGTAGTAAAAAGTAAAAAAAATCCCAACATTTTAACATTTTATTGAGTTTTTTGTGAACATGATGATAAAAAGTGATGGTTTGCAGACACAACAAGTATGTGGATGAAGAGTGGAAAAACTGAAGCACAGAGGTTGCGTTGTTCTTGTTGGTGGGTCCATTAAAATATGCTGCACACATCTTGATTGCAAAACTCCAATATATCTGTTGGAAAGGAAAGCAAACAGACCCATTAGTGACAGTTTAATTGTGCAACAATCGGCCACTCTGTCGGGCTGCTGTCGTACCAGAGTGTGTGCAGTTGAAGACCGTGTCTGCGTGGGTGTAGAACTCCTCTCCGAGGATGGAGCGGTAGTCCATGTGACTCGTGTGGGCAAAGCATTGCGTTGCATCTTTAAACAGCAAATCACTTTCTCCATATTGATGAGACTCAAAGAGCCTGAACTCTGTGTTTGAGTTGACGGCCAGAGCTTCCTATATGGTCAAAAAACAACTAATAAATACATTTAGAGGTATAATTATCCACCTGTGTCCTCGACTCAACTTTGGGCTGCATATTGGTGCAAAAATGATGCTATGCCATTAAAACATAGAGCTTCACTGAGCAAATATAAAAGCAGGAAGATAAAAAGCATTCTGCAAAACTTTTATAATAAAGAAATAGAGCTGAGGTAAGTCAAAGCAAATGATTATAAAAAACACACTGAGTAGTAAAGTAATGTACTGGCAGTAGTTTGCTGCTGGGGAGATTTTAAAAACAGATTGTTTAAATAAAATCTAAACAGACCTGTGACTTCATAAGGAAGTCGTACACTCGTGCTGTGAGCACGGGCCGTGTCATGACGGTGTTTGGTGGGATGACTCCCAGATTACAAGTCTCCCAGTCTGACAATGGGGCCCGGCGACCGTCAGCACACAGCAACTCAAAGTCTGACGATGACCACCCCTCTGCCCAGCCAGTGGTGTTCAGACCTGCAGGATGTAGGAGATGTAGACATTTGTCATGTGAAGTTAGAGTCTGTTAGTGTGAGTGATCGCATCACCGGTTTGATTTTGAATATCTCACCGAGGATGTTTGTGTGAAGGCTGTGTTGCTCGAGAAAGGCCACGTCACCATAGCTTTTCCCGCTGCGATCTCCAACTAAGCACCTGAGCAATGAGTAACGGGTTGCAGGGTCAGTTTAGTAAAATGGTTTAACTCTGTTTCCACCACTAATTTATATTAGAGGAAACCCCAAGAATCAGACTTCAAACAATCGCTTGGTGACAGTGGGAAGAAAAAAACTCTTAACAGTAAGAAACCTCTGGGAGAATGAGGCTCAGGGAGAGGCAACCATCTGCTGAGGCGGTTTGGGGATGAGTAGAAAGAGAAAAAAGTAGAGGGGCTTTATATTCTTCACTTGTCTCACACTGATGTTATGTTTTCTAGTGTTGCGCCATGGTCATGTGGAAATTCTGTTATAATATTTTTGGATGGAAGAATGATAGTAAAACCCATTTGAACCACTTGATTTCCAAAAATGCTTTGTTTAAAAAAAAAAAAAAATCTCTGTCAACTTTAGTATGTGTCTACAGATGACCCATAGAGACGAACGAAATTAGTTTATTCAGATTTATGCGCATTATGATGACGGAAGATACTTCGAAAAAAGAGGACAATAGAACTTAGAAAGACTAGATTTAATAATATTTGACGCAGGACATACACTTTACTACACATACCTTAAAGCTCCCATATTTCCATAGTAACGCTCATTGTGATTTTCAGTGCAGCGTTTGGTTGCAGTCTCCCCTGTGCCTCCGATGCATACCTTGCAAAGATTACCCTCAGATCCAGGAAGACAACTTTTCCAAAACACCTCATTGTACACTAGGAAAACACAAAGTGGCAGACTGCAGTCACGTGAGGGTCGAAGCAGCGTTGGATTAATTTAAAAGGATTTAAAAGGATAAGGAGTGTGGGGGTGCAAAGGTCCAGAAAACATGAACAAGATATTTCTAAGAAGTGGACTTGAATGAACACTGATTAGTGGTGAATAAGTTTAGTAAATCAGGATTTCCCATGAATTTTTCTGAAAACACTACCTTTGTCAGGATCACAGGGGGAGCTGCTGTTGTTCGCCAGGCTTAAGCTGTGTCTGTATGGCAGGAGCCAGCCTGCAGGGCTGTAGGTGTTGCTGTGGCAGGAGCGACGGCCTCCGAGATTCCCGATGAATATGTTCCTGCTGGAGCGCTTTGCGACTGCTAAACCCACAACTGAGGGAAAGACTGAACAGAGCAGCAGACGTGGTTTCTATGTAGAAATAAGATCATTGTAGACTGATTATGCAGCTGTTTTTTGTCTTCATCTCACCATCTGTCTCCAAGTGAGTGGATCCTTCAGCAGGCACGCAGTTTTTTCCTGTGAAAACCCAACAACACAAGAGTGACACAGAAAAGCACGCGCTTTATTGATTAATCTGATGAGACTTTTTGTTTTGTTGTTTTACAAGGGAAAATGCTATGCAATCCTACTGGCCCTGTGTGAAAAAGTAATTGCCTAAACCTATTAACTGTTTGCGTCACCCTTGGCAGCAAGAACTGCAATCAGACATCTGCGATAACTGGCAATGAGTCTTTCACCTCACTGTGGGGGACTTTTGGCCCATACTTCTCTGCAGAATTGTTTTAATTCAGCTACACTAGAAGATGTTTGAGCATAAACGTCATGTTTGAGGCTATGCCAAAGTACCCAGACTTTGGTTAGGCCAATCTAAACCTTCATTTCTGTTATTTTGAGCCATTCAGAGGTCCTCGTGTGTTTGCTTCATAATTACATTACATTATTATATTCTGCAACAGTCCTACCATAATATTCCGTCACAACGGGGACAAGACCACACTTCCCTGCGATGAACGAATGCGTGGCATCCAGCGAGACAGCGTCCACCTCATCCCTCTGTGGTAAAGGCACACGTCATTTTAGCTTGTATAGTGTCCTAGAGAGTTTGATAAACATCTCAATAATCTGCAGTCTAGATGGCTTACCTTAATTTTCTCGATACAGTCACGCATTGAGACAGCTCTGACGCACACCAGTGGGTCAGACTTTATGCTGAGCGCCCACTGCTCACACTTCTTCTGCTCTGCATAGCTGATGCAGCACCATCTAATGACACTGTCCTCCAGTGAGCTTCCTGCAAACACAAAGACACCGTAAAACCCAAGCCTGTGCGTTCTGAGTTTAAAAATGTACAACCGTACATATACTAGAACAAGCACCTTCATGCCCAAGTCCTTTGAGCAGCGCCACATAATCCAGCCCCAGCACCTGACTGACATCTATGTCGTCTTGCAGGACAACGAGTTTCTCAGTCACATCTCTGAAGAGAAGATCGTTTTCTCCAAAAGATGAGGAGCTGAAGAGTTGGAAGCGCTGCCTTTCTCTTCCTTGCCGACCAAACAGCGTCTAACAAATTAATAAAAAATGCTTGAACAATCAGTTAGTGGGTACAGTAACAGCTATGACCCTTAGGCACAGAGATGGAAATTGAACAAACTATTTACCTGCACAGTTGCTAGAAATTTGCGAACAACCTTGCGAAAATTAACTCTGGTGACCATGCCCCCTCCTGGACCACGACCCAGATTACAGCTTCTGTACTGGCTGAGGGGAGCTTGTGTGCCATCAGTACACAGTAACCTGAACTCATCACGCTCACTCTCTGACAAAAGAGACAAATAAAAAACTGAAAGGTAAACAAGTCTTAAGGGTGGGTCAGTGCAACTTTCTGCAGTTTGGTGGTTGAACTGATTTAAACAGGATATTTACAGCGATCAGGCATAACATTATACCCCCTGCAGGTGAAGTGAATAACGCTGACTGTTTCTTTATCTTGGCACCTATTAATATGTGGGATATATTTAGGTGCCAAGAGAACATTTTGTCCTGAAAGTTGATGGATTAGAAGCAGGAAAACTGGGCAAGCATAAGGATTTGAGTGAGCTTGAAGAGGACCAGATTTTGTTGGCTAGATCAGAGCATCCCCAAAACTTGCTCATTGACAGCTGGATTAGGCCCCAACCTTTCAGCGACCCCGAATAATAAGCAGTTAAGAAAATAAGTTGAAGGACATTTTGATGAACAACATATTATATTCTATATTTTGGTTTTCTGTGCAAGCTTTTTCTGTACATTATCTTTTAAAACCTGTTAGTCCTGATGACTATGTGTAAAATAAAGGAACAAACCCCTCTCAGTTTATGGTGAAAGCAGTTTGTAGCACAAAGATCAGGAAAGTTTATTTATGGCTAAAACATAGCAGCAATACAAAGTAATACAGAAGTTTGATCATGAAAAACAAAACAAAAATTTGATAATTGGCTCAGTCCCAAGGTTGTGCGCAGCTTAGCACTTTTCTTTTAAGCACGTTATCTATCTCACATGCATTAGCTGATTAGGCTCAGCAGTTGCCCTAGCATGAATATGGACCAGCCGGGGTACCAGAGGAAACACACACAGGCTGTGGGGTGCTATTGTGGTTAGCACTGAACAACTATATCACCCACTGTCATCAGAAAGACTCTGTTCAGTCAAACTGTAATGTCATCTTTAGTTTTATTGTTTAATAACAACCAACAGTCAGTTTGCCATGACTTTAGGAACTTAACATTTTTTTATAAATATGATATTAATAGACCCCTTTATGCAAATGTCATTTTCAAAACATTTTGCTGGTTTTGGGATATCCCCATATATATTTTTATTTCAATACAATATAAAAAAAAATGCGTACCTTCAATAGTTTCAAGTGCTAAATGGTCCACAAATGCAACATCCCCTATCCCCCTCCTGAGACATCTGTAACAGAGCAAAACAGGAAATAAAAACAGTTTCCTGATGTTTTAACTGGTTGACCTTTTGTAAAGCCTGACCTGAGAGCTCCCTGGTTGTTGTAGAAGAGCTCGCTGTGGGATGTTTCGCAGTGGTAATTCTTCTGGCGTATGTAAGACTTCTGGCCCTGGCACAAAGTGCACAGAGGAGGTGCCATCGCACCAGCACCAGGAATACAGCTGGCACTGAAAAAAGTGCTGACATCTGTCAGAGGAGGAGAAAAAACAAGTCAGGGTGGGGGACTGAAAACCCAGATCAGAAATGAAAACACATTTATGGAAAAAATGCAGCTGACAGTTGATTACAGTCCGATTACCCTGACTAAGCGGATGCTCCTTTGCCCAGCTCAGGTAGTTTCGGGACAGCAGGAAGCCGAGCGGGAGACTCCATCCAGCTGTCCATCGAACTCCGCTGTGACAGCTCCTGTGGCCCTGCAGGGATCGTATGTCCAAGCTGCTGTTTCTCACCACAGCCACAGACAGAGTACAGCCTCCTGTAGATAAATATATAAACAGACATGTGGGTCTTTTCATATCAGTATCAACCAAATCTTCAATAACCCCACCTGAGTTATTGAAGCTATACAAAAAGATTCCTTTTTTAAGAGTCAAGACTGGGTGCTTTTTCACAGGTTCTATTTTTTGTTTTTTTGAAGTTCAGAATGTCCACTCCAGGTGTCCCAATCTAAAACTGAAATCTCAAGATGCAGCTCCTTTAGCATTACCAAGATCTTAACTCCTTCAGTAAACATAATTTCATATTTAACTGGCAATTTGGAAAGTGTTAAATATATAAACTATGCTAGAAAATGATTATATGCATGAGGAATTACGGCTAGAAGACTAATCAAAATGTAGGTAAAAAGGGGACCTTTCAGATGCTACAGCATGTTGTAACTAGTCACTCTTCCTGCACAGCCCTGAAAGATTGACACAAAATTTACTTTTTCAAGTTTTCTCTTGTGAATTATTATTAATTATTTTCTACCTTCATTTTGTCCATGAAGCTAGCTCTTACATTGCTCAAAAATATGAAAAAAAGGTTATTAAAAAGCGCCAAATTTCAAACCACTCCTGTACTCTGAGGGTGTTAAAGTCAGAACATTTTCACAGTATGATGGTACTATTTTGCATGGTTATGCTCATTCTAAGCTCCAAGCTCATTCTGAATGGGGTTAAGTTCGAGAAACGTATTTTTCAATAACCCGCTTTTTAGATCAGTGCTGAAGATATATCTCAGAAAAGTGAGCTTAAACCTACCATCACTGTAGATCTCCTTAGCAATGGCTACAAGGTCAAACTGCTTGACAGCTGAGTAAATTTCTCCTGCATCTAAAGTTACAATGTCAGCACGATTAGCCTGAAACAAACAATTGACAAAAAGAGTTTTAAATAGTTAATTTTACATCTCAGCAAATTCAATTAATACAATGCTAATACACGGTTATCCCAAAAAGAAGGGATGTGCAATGTACTGTTTATAAGGTTGGGGAAACCTGCAGTCAGCTGAGACTAAAAAAGTCACTTGACTTGGATGAGTGAGGAAACGTTTCTCCCACTGAAAACGCTACGTCCAGATGAACAGAATCAACTTTTGGGTAATGTACTTGCACTTTATTGTGTCCTCCATGTTATGGTGCTTTCTAATTTTACTCCACTACAGTCTGGATGTAATCATTGAGTTTTGTAATCCATTTATTTTACAGCTTAATTTCATTAGTGTAGTTCTCCTTGCAACTTCACTATTACACTTCTCTCTCTCTTATAGTCCTGCACACATATTCTGTCTTGCTTCTCGTGACTTTCATTTGCATTTGGTAAATTTTTATTTACCTCATTTTCACCTGCCTGCCTTATCACCAGTGCAAACAGGGGGCTAAAAGTCAAACCCAGCCCCACCATGAACACAGGAGTCACTCCAATCACATATCTCACCACTGTCCTCATACATGTCGTCCACCATCCACACATAGTTCTCTGGCACTCCCTCGTGCAGTATCGCAGTTCTTCTCTTGGCGCCTTATCATGTTATCTCCATAAAGACAAGTGCAACTCCTTCCATCTTTCCATACTTTTCCATCAACACTCTTAAAGCACACATGGCATCTGTTGTGCTTTTTCTCAACATGAAGCCAAACTGCTGCTCACTAATCATCACCTCGGTTCTTATCCTAGCTTTAACAGCTCTTTTTCATATTTTCATGGTAAGGTGAATCAGCTTTACTACATCTCTGCTCATCACCCTTGTTACTGATATGCAAGCAACTTTAAATAATTTGCTCCAAGCTGGATTAAAACGCCTTTTTATTGTGTATTGCATTGTAGACTTGCTCACCTTGATCCTATTGATGCAGTCAGTTGTGCTAGATGCTCGTATGCATGAAAGTCTGGCAAAAGCTGCCAGAGTGGCTGGTGACACCACTGCTGCCAGAGCTTTAGCTAGTTCTGCACACTTCCTCTGTTCAGGATCTGACACTGCGCACCATCGCATCTTCTTAGCTGCCATGAAGGGAGCAGTTCAAATGGTTAAAGAAAGAAAATAACAGCCATAAGAATGCATACAGTCCTTCCAACTTTCAGTAAATTCAAAAGACTCTACAATATTCATATTATTAAACTCAGTTTTATTAATGTCCTGAAAAGCAAATGCTCCAAACAGATGGTAACAGGAACCAAAAACACCTCAACAATACGAGGCTGAAGAACATAAAATATTTCAAGAAACAATAATAATCACCTAGTTCAGTAACAACACTTACCACTTACAGAGCACACAAAGATGGAAAAGAGTAAAATGGGATAAAATCCTTGCATTTTGACTTGCTCTTGATCAAAGATATAATAACTCTGCAAACAGACCGCAGTCCTCTCTGTTAAACTAAAATCTGTGATTTTAGTTCAGTGATTTTCTGAAGTACTAGAAGCACTGCTACAAACAGGGTAATAGCAGACCTATTGCGTAAGGGCACCTCCTCCGAAAACAGTAAAGTCACTCTTTGCACACATATGGAAAATATTTTGCACCATCTGCAACAAGGACAACCCCTATTCAATGTTTTGCTGGATTTACAGCTATAGAGCTGAGTGTTCCTTTAAGGCACTTGACGTTTATGTTTTGGGAATGCCGAAGACATTTTACACAATAATTAATAAGAACCATTCAAATTGGTCCCCACCAGCTGAGGGCAGCAAAGACATAAGCACAGAGTAGTTAAATATGCATGTGCTGATTCAGTTCTAAGATCAGACTATTTTTTTAAAATGTGATGCTGGCAAGTGAACAACAGTTCAAACAATCAGCAGGTGAGCCCGTCACGCTCTCCATTATTCCTGTCATGTTGGAAATGCAGAGTTTTGAGATTCTGACTCTTCTGTTTTTTGATGAGGAGCATGAAGTCCTAAACTCCGGAGGACAGTCTGCAAATGCTGGATTCTCTTTGCGTGCAGCAACATCACCGGTTTCTGTTTTTCCAGCTTAGTGGACAGCCTGTCGATGAGCTCCTCCAACTGTCAAATGAAAAATCACCAGGAGTGACACAGTCAGTATCATGAACAATAATTTAATAATTTAATTGAATGCACCACCCTCTCAGCTCAGTTTCTTTTCCTCCACAGACAGAGATTTACAGGTCAAATGACGCTGTAGAAGAATGCATGGAAAATCTGAGCCATCAGGAAGAGAAACTTCAGAAGTTACTTCAGGTAACTAGCATCATGATTAAGACTGCACATGCACACATTGCAAAGTTTTCCTTTCCATAAGGAAATAAATGTGAACCCTTAGATTTATAACAGATAGTTAAAAAATGAAAAGGGTAATGTATGTCATAACTGAATCTGTTTTCCTACCTTATCACACTTACTTGTTGCGTAAGATATCTGTTGTTATAAGTGCTTATACACTTTGTAGATTCAATAATTGCATAATATTTGAAATGTCAGGAATTTAAAATATCTTACTCTAGAACTGGTCGAGGAATTACCTAACAAAAATACTTTTTTCAACAAAAGGCAGTTCACTTCATTAATAATCTCTAAAGCTTCACTCACACAGGCGTAGAGACTGCTTGGCAACTCCAAAAGAGGTTGGTGAGTGGTTCCTGGCTCAACTAGTTGAGGAATATGCACTTTTGGTGGTTCCCTAGCAACCACCGTTCGCTAGGGAACGCAAGTGTAAAATTAGTCTTTACACTTGTGTGACTGGGGTACTAAGCTTAATACTTATGTGAACCTAAATGTGAAAGGCACCAAATTTTGGGCTGTGATGATTAAATCAAGATAGCGTAACAGCAAACAATGTAAGTTTATGTTCAACATAAACAGTGACAAAAGTATCTTGTGTCCTTACGTCCTTCAACTCTTGACAGATAGCATTTTTTTCCATCACTTCGTCCTTTCCACTGGTCTGCAGCCAACTCTGTAACACCCTTTCAGCTTTCGCCATGCCCTGAGTGAATAAAACACCGGTGCTATTTTCACATCACATATTGCAAAGAAAAGAAGAGTGGAAAAACAGATTTCTACCGGAGCTGCTTTCTGTCCAGCTGGAAACTCTTCATGTCCTGTTGAATCCTGAGAAGCTCGCTCATCAGAGCTGACGTTGAATCACTTGTTGCATTTTTAGCATCAGGAACCTCAGTTTCTCCACCAGATGCACTCAGACGTGTTTCTTGAAAAAGCAACAAAACAGTTCTTTTGAGTTTGGTGATTTAATAAGTTTTTTTTTTAGTTTTTTTTTATAAATATTGAAAACATACTCTAGAAAAAAAGAGCAGGGTCTATACCTGGATATGCAGATGAGTGGGGATCTAAAGAAGTGACAGACTGAGGAAAACGCTCAACTGGAGAGTCTCCAAGACTTGATTTGAACTTAAAAAGAAAAAAAGGTTTAACCCAAATTGAGTTACTTAATACAGCAACAAATAGTTGCTGATATGTCAAACAGGTGTATCTTATCTTACTTTATTCTGTGTCCCAGTAGTCATGAAAGCAGAAGGAGGTAAAAGAGGTTCTTGGTTTTGGGTGTGCTGAAAAAAGTCCATGTTGGACATTAGAGATTCAGAAGGTGGCACAGTTGACATGACACTGCACTGATGTGGAGAGGCAACAAAAACTTCATCAGCATGGGGGCAGTTTGACGCTGGATGGTTTCTCTGTGTGGGACGACTGGACTCAGATGAGTTTGGAGCTGCTTTAATGTTGGTGACGGCAGATTGTGGCTGGGTACTTGAGTAAACAGAAAAGAAAAAGCTTTAATCAGTGATTCCTACACTGACTTTTAACACAATGCTTCAATTTAAGTAAGTTTATTATAGTTCAAACGATATTCAGATGCTTGTCTTCTGTTTTTATTTTCATGTATTACCACATACAGCATTGGAAAAAGGATTTTACCATCAAAAAACATGAAGCAATGTTTCTTTTACTGATAATTTCTCTTCCCTTTATGGGACTAAAGGCTGCAATGTTTGGGTATGCAGCCTAAAAAAAAAAAAAAGTCAAACTGCATGTGTGGAACAGTTTCACGGCTTGTCAGAGTGAAGTACACACTCACAGCTTGCTGTGCAATCCAGCTGCAGCTTCCTGCTTTGTTGAGTCAGAAGATGAAACACTGCTCAGACAGAAGCTCACACTCTTTTTTGCTGGCTGCCCTCTCGTCTCTTGCTCTCTTCGGGGTTTGCACAGTGCCCGCTGCTTCCACCGTGCAGCACAACGTTTAACAACTCTCTGGAGGTGTTGTGATCTCTGCAGGACACAAGCAGAGAAGTGAGGCACTGAAATCTTAGGTCTAGAAATCACAAGAAATGCACAATAACCTACTTGCAGTTGACTGTGTTGTGTTAGGTTTGTTGTGAGATCATTCATATGAGCGGCATATGTGAGGATGCATGTCACCCCCTCCCTCAGCAGCTGGTCTCTGTAGACCAGTGCAGCTCTGGCAGCATGTTCTTGCTTTCTCCGCTGCTCTGTGACCCAAATCCTCCACTCATACAACACCTGCGTCAGGTCCAGAAAGTATAAGAGGGCTTGTTAGACCCTGTGAGCACCATTTCTGCAATGCATTTGGTGGTGTAGAGAGAAAAGAATGTGGAGGCAGGTTATTTACCTTGGCCTGAAGTGTGAGGGACCAGTGCCAGAGTGCTCTCTCCGTTTGCTTCGCCTCTCGCTGTCTGTCTGTGCTGCAGCTGTTAGCAGAAAGAAAAACCAAAGCCTGTTTAACTGCTCTCAATCAAAACCAATCAATACTCATTCATTAGAAATGCCACATTTGCAGCATGACGACAATAAACACACAGACAGATCTCAAAAATCGCACAGTCAGAATACACAGAGACAGCCTAAATCCATAGAAGAAATGCGGCAAGGTCTTCAGATGGCCAAAAATAAACCAACCTTCAAAGTGCCATAAAAACCTGGGAGCAAATGAAGTAAGGGGAACTGATGCCATTTTAAAAGTAAAGACTGTCCACACCAAATACTGATTTGATGAATCAAATCTATTGATTTAAAGTCTGACTTTGCTGTTTTCCCATAACTCTTTTTCCTAACAGAAATGATTAGCAGTAAAAGCAAAATAGAAGCAAATGGTAGATATTCACTTCTTTTGAACAATCAGTCTGTTCAGACCACAAAAAAAGGAAAATCAACAAACCTTTGTTTTCCACTGCTCAAAGTACATCTGGTACATTTTTAATCTCAGCAATAACAGTCCCTGTCGTTTCATCACCTACAAAATCACAGTTTTAAACACGTTAGATTACAGCTTGATGACAGTATAGATGTATATGCATTGAGGGATAAAAGAAGTTAGAACCTTATTCTTCTGGTGCTGGTAGTGATGCTCTTTCCAAGCTTTCAGCGCATTAGAAAGGAGTTTGGAGTTATGGTGTCTCCTGGCTTTTTCCATGATTATCCTCTCCCTCCGAGCCTCCCTGGTCCGATTCCTCCATCGTCTGAAAAATTGCAGCAACCGCACTAAACACAGAAATCATTAAAAAGTTTACAACAATTTGGATACACCTGGTAACCAGACAACACAGTTCTGATGCAACAGTTACTTAACAGGTACAAAATCTTTGACAACTGCTGAGGTAACTGCTGCATTTGTCTAGGCGGTATCTTTCCATGAGAGCCAAACAACTCTAAGACTAAGAAAGACATGCTGGAATATCAAAATTACTTACCACTGCTCTTAATGGTTACAGGTAGGTGGCAATCACAAGAGCAAAGTTAAGTTTGTTTAAAGAAAAATAAATAACTAAAAGGAGTTAAAATGGGACCATATGACATTACTTTCATTTATAGACTGCTGAGCCCTGCTTAGTGCTTCCCTCTGCTGGAAGCGCTTTGACACCGCAAGTGTTGTTGCTTCTCTCCACGTATGAAACACCTTGAAAGATTTAGTGAAAAGAAAGCAATCGGTGTTGAAAATATGAAGACGCCTGATGATGTTGAACATGTATGCATCAGATCGCTTTGTAACCTTAAGCTGAAGGGAGTGATCGAAGTGATTCTGTGCTTGTTGCTCTTCGAGCCGGATCTCTGCTCGCTGCTCTGCATTTTCCCTCCACTCAGTAAGCGCCACTCTGGAGAGACATGACTGAAACTTAAGATCCTAACAAACACCTAGGATTTCTAAACAGAAGAAATGAAATTCTGATTTTAGAATGAAACACAGTATTTGTCTTTATTACCTGAGAAAACACTGAGTGTGCTGCTTGTGAAGCTCCTCTGCATTGTCATAGATCTGAGACATCTGCAGGTGGTGTTTCTGTGAATACAGCAGGCCACAATGCATAGACTTCAACATTGTTTTCATGACCCTAAACAAATAAAATCATGTGGTTTTAACTGATATAAGATGTGCACCTTCCAGGCCACAAAGGAGTGTTTTAGAAGTTTAACTTCATGCCAACTCTGAACCTCTTCCAGCCTGCTTTTCTTTTCTCTCTGGACCTGAACAAACTGACACACACAGAGAAAAAAGAAAACGGATACATCACACATGAATATAATAAAATCAAAGCGGGGAAGAAAAATCTATCAGCTTTCATAATGGCACTCCAAAGCTTTGGTCTCATTTAGGCAGTCTCATGCTGTCAGAGATGCTGAGCAGAATTTATAAGATACACATTTCCACATCAAAAAGCAAATTCTTTCAGTCTTTTTCAAATCTTAAGCACTGATTCCTTACTGCACAATGACTAAAGTAACAGATGGAGTGCAGACTAGACTCAACAAAAATGTAAAATAATCACCTTTTCCCATTTTTCTACAGCCTTTCTTAAGCAGCGCAAATCACCCTGATGGCAGGCCTGCTGCTCTCTGTTTCTCCTGAAGTAAAACAAATAAACGATTCTATTAGCCGACAGCACATTTAGCTCAAGCCCAAATTATTCAACAACTTCACCAAAACGTCTTCTTGAGCTTCACCTGTCTCGTAGCTCAGTGCTGTTTTCCTTCCACTGCATCATCGTCCTGTGTAGAAGTGTGCGACGATACAGACTACGTGAAGCCTCCTGTTTCTCCACCTCTTTGATCCGCTCTTGTGTGCGCTGCCTCCATCGCGTCCAGACTCTCTGCTTCTGGCATCTCTCGTCATGAAGAACTGCCTGGAAAAACTTAAATGTTATTTATCACCAGTGCAGTGCACCACAACAAAGTTTTCATCTGCAGTTGACGTACCAGCCGCTCAGAAAGCATCTCTTCCTTGAGCTTCTCCGACTTCCCCCACCAGGTGTAAAACACCCAGGCGCACTGGCGCCGCCTGACAACACAGTGGACAGACAGATCATTTGGACATATTCATCCACCCACTGAGGTTGAAAACTACAAAGTCTACACACAAACCAGTATAAACCAAAGTCTAGATAGTGCAAACTGAATGTTCTCCCTGAGATGCCTAAATAAAGTCAATCTGATACTCTGACTGCCTGGGAAATGATTCCTGATTGTGGTGCCTCAGGGCTTGGATACCACAGACAGTTCCATAGAAAACTACCTTTTTTGTCTTTGAGTTACAGCCAGAGACCAGCTCCCACGAGCAAAAATGATCCTCAATAAAATTGGGGTCAATTTGGCACAGAAGATGATGTCTGCTTTCTGTTTAAAGACTGTGGTGAATCTGTATGCGTGCATCCCACCACTCAGAATGGGACCAGTGATCTAAAAATAGAGGGTCTAAAAACAGCATCCACACTGAAAGTGGCCCAGAGAAGCCAAAAAAATAAGAACCTTAAAGGGGAAAGCAGCCAAATTTAAAAAGGTATATTGTTATTTTAATTTCTTGGGAAGAGTTGCATAACTGAAGAGGAGAAAGGTGATGACTCACCGATTATAAGCTTGAGCTTTGAGTCTTCTCTGTTGAAGCATTCTGCTGTGGAGGGTAAACTCAACCCAAGACTGGAAACACCGAGGTAGCATACGGTCTACAAACCAAATGTCTGCACGACGCTCCAGTTCCTGTAAAAAAAATAAACAAAAAAACAAAACATAACAAGTTGATTGTGTTGTAATGTAAAAGCATCTGTATCTCTGCTGTCTTGAGTTGTATTTGAAAATACCTGCATGTATCTCTGCTCAGCAAGTTTCTCTCTCCAGTGGTGAAAATGTCTTCTAAGCAGTGAAGTGCTGCAACGAGAACCAAATTCCATTTGTAGCACCGGTATTACAACAAAGAACTGTGAATATAGCCCTGTGGATTGGGAAATGTATGTAAGAGCACCTGTAGTTACTCAGGGCCATCTCTATGAGGGGTTTAAAACTGCAGTTTTCAGCTTCCTCCACACGATCCTGCCATAGTTTCCAGTACTTACGAGTCATCTGCGCAAAAAAAAAAAAAAAGCATTTCAGATGCTTTGAAACCTTCAATGAGATTAACACTGACTGTCTGCAGTGTGAAGATCAGTTACCGTTTGCTGACAATGTTGGATAGCCATACGGTTGTTCAGTCGATATGTTTTGTTCAACACGACATTAAGAGACAACCCTCGCAATCCAGCACGCTGCAATGAGAATGTGCTGAGATGAATACATGAATTGATCGTGCTGATCTTTGCTTATGAGTGGGTCCATTATTTTATTTATTTATTACCATTAAATGATGTTGGTAGTGTTGATTTGCTGCATTCTTTCTTTCAGTTTCTTCTCTGCACAATGCCACATCTACTGAAGAGCTCAAGAATCAAACAACAGTGCTAATAACTTAAAACTGATTTAGTAGCAGGTAGAAAAACTAGTTTATCCAAGTTTTATCCATTCTACAGGTGGATCAGGATACAAGCTCTCCAACGCACTAGTGCTCTGCACTGGATGCTCTGCGTGGCCAAACTGGCTGCTGCTTGCAAACGGGTCTCTTCACTGTGTTTGCAATCGAGAGCATTTCTCCATTTACTCCAACACTTCCTCACCAGGAGGCGAGAGCAGGCACGCTGAGCCAAAACTGAAGGCGAAACACAAAAGAACAAAAAATAAAAATGTGTTAAGAGATAGCAAAATAATGATGCTTCAAGAAAGCTGTGTGGGTATTTTATAATGACCTTGTGTTTCTTTCTTGGTGTGGCGATACGACACATATCTTATCCACTGATGCAAAGCTCTTCTTTTCAATCCGGAGATATAATGAAACGCAGCTCTGGATTCTTTTTCTTTCTGGCAAGAAGCAGCCGTCTGCATCTCTTTCCACTGAAGCCAAGCCTTCAATACAAAATATATCAGGTGACTCATCACCAGAGAGAACACACAGGAATAATATACCTCAAGGTTCACTACTCTTTGGTTTTCTTTATACATTTTACCCTGGGAGCATGTCGTCCATGGGCATAATATAAGTTGACAACCACCTCAGCTTAGATAAGCATTTCAATTCAGTCGTATTTTATGCTGTTTAGGACTTAGACTCAGTAAGAGTTAGTTTTCACAGGATTGTCGTATAACTGAGCTATTTTCCCATTCCTGATTTATTTTTGCACATTTATCTCACTTAAATGTTTCAGATCAAATGTTAATATTAGATAAAAAAATAACTGAGGTTCATATGAAATGCAGTTTTAAGTAATGATTTCATTTATCAAGGATAAAAATAATCCAAACCTACAAGGCCCTGTGCGATAAAGCAATTTCTCCCTAAACCTAATGACTGTTTGTGTCACCCCTGACAACGAGAACTAAAATCAGGTGTTTGCAATAACTGATAATGAGTCTTTCACATCCCTGTGGAGGAATCTTGGCTAACTCTTCTTTGCAGAATTATTTCAATTCAGTCGCACTGGTGTGTTTTGGATCATTGTTCTGCTGCATAGCCCAAGTGCGTCTGAATTTCAGAGCATGAACTGATGGCTGGACATTCTCATTCAGGATTTTCTGGTAAAGAGCAGAATTCATGGTCCATCACAGAGTCACCACCATGTTTGACTGCTGGTGTAATGTTTCTTTTATGAAATACTGTGTGAGTTTTATGCCAGATGTAACGGGACTCAAACCTTCCAAAGGGAGATGGTGGTATGATGTGAATCTACTTGACTTCGTCTGACAGGTTCCATTTCCATTATTTCTTGATTCAACAGGTCTGCCTTGAATCAGGCTGAGGTGTGGCTATTAAAATTGAACTCAACTTTCTAAAGAATGTGATTAATCACAGTTAATTTAAAATTCAATAATAACAACAGATGAAATTATCAATATAATATTGTTATTATTATTTTTTGTATTTCCTTGGGTCATCTTTATCTAATTAGTTTGACAGATTGGAACAGCCTAACTGAGTAGATCAGACTGCCGAGCTTACTATTGATGGGTTTAGATTTTGTTATTGTCATTTGTATTTAGAAATATTTAACCATATATGCTTAGAGGTGTATAATCATTTGTAGATTGAAAGAATGTCTCATCCTAGGAGGTCTGTAACAGCTCTGTGTAGCATGAAGGGGGAGTGCGTTCACTCCCTCTACAGAGTGTTCCGGCGTAGATCACACCTCCTAGGAGAGGTCGTATCTTCTCTTGCTGATATATGGTATAGCAAGCACACGTATATCTGTTTAAGTATAAGAGCCTTTTGTTCAGATGGACCGCTAGACTCCTGGCACCAGCTTTGGGGAGTCTTCACAGGGTCACATCTGGACCTCACACACACACACACACACACACACACACACACAGTATTCTTTGTTCACATGTATACCTATGTAAGATGTTATATGTTAATGACCCTATGCATATTCATGTAACCACAATAAAAGGAGTGCTATGGGGGACCTGCCTGAGAGTCTGACGGTGGTCAAGTGGTGGAACGACACTCGGCCCCAGCCAGGTCTCCCTCATGCATGAGTGAACCAGAGAACTTTGGTGCCTTGTGTCTTGCTTTTTGCTGCGTAGCAGATTGTCCTTAACATTCCAGCGAATAGGTTTATGCTACAAACCTATCAACTATCATCTATCATCACCATAAATCTCTCTTAAAGACATACTTTGATGAGCAAGTTTTTACTGTGCCTCTGCTTTGAAATGAATGTTGTCCTTCATTTATTCTTGGTGATAATTTTTTATTTATTTTAATTTTTCATAATTGCTTTTAATTTACATGTTTATAATTTTAATTGTCTTTATCTTTATAAGGGGCGACCGTGGCTCAGGGGCTTGGGAAGCGTATCTGTAACTGGAAGGTCGCCGGTTCGATCCCCGGGCTCTCTGTCCTGGTCGTTGTGTCCTTGGGCAAGACACTTTACTCTACCGCCTACTGTTGTTGGCCAGAGGGGCCGATGGCGCGATATGGCAGCCTCGCTTCTGTCAGTCTGCCCCAGGACAGCTGTGGCTCCAACCGCAGCTTGCCTCCACCAGTGTGTGAATGTGAGAGTGAATGAATAATGGCATTGTAAAGCGCTTTGGGTGCCTTGAAAAGCGCTATATAAATCCAATCCATTATTATAAAAATAAGATTTGTCTTTATCTACTGCCTTTGAACTTCTTCTAATGTCAGTGTTCCTACACTTTATGTTGTTTCACTTTTAATTCTTCTTAAACATTTTGTAGTTTGTCACTTTGTTTTGAAAGGTGCAGTATTGAAAAAAAGTTATTGTTGTTATTTTTATTATTACTATTGATAATAATATTAACATGTGATTCACAGGGGTGTTCGATCACGCCCTTACCCTTGTCTTTAAGGTTAGCGCCCTCTGTTTCTGTGCTTGATCCTCCAAAATGTGAAGGTCTCGACGGTGCTGTAATCTAGTCTGCCACAAGTTCCACACTGAGCTGCAAAACAAAAACAAAGGTAAAACCAATATTATGGTAAAAATCATAATGCTAGAAGTTTTCATTTGCTAACACAAATCTCACTGCATAGCTGAGAGCCTGTACTGCTCAAGAGCTGATTCCAGCATTCTGCTCTTCAGTCTTCTCATCTCTGTGAAAACCTCCCATCTGTCCAACACCAGACGCATCCGCTGCTTGTCAGCTGATAATAGAAACAAAGTGGGTGATGACACGTCAGTGAATTATGAAATCTGACAAAAAAAAAAAAAAATCCCCAAACCAACATTACGCTTGAATGGTAAAAGTCACACCAAATGACTGAGCCTTTTGCTGTTGCATCTTCTTTTCCCTCTGCAAACACACAAACATTCGCCAGCTGTGGAGAGTCCAGTTGCACAGGTAATACCTGAAATAAAAGCAGCATGAATACATGAACAGACTTTGGTTATTCAACTATAAAAGTCCTTCATAATGTACTGTAATGACCTGTAGTGACAGTCTGCTCGCATGTTCAGACTCCACTCCCTCCTGGATGACCACCACTCATCTCTCCATCCTTCAAAGGTTCTTCTCAGTACCACTCTGTTATAATGCGACCTGGAAAACACTGGAATTAGTGAGCAGGTAGGAAAACGAGGGCAACCAGATGGCAAACTTGAAAATGCTTTCAATTTCCAAAATAAATGAAACAGGTTACTTTGCTTCATGAGGAAGAACTCGGCCAAAGGTGTTCTGTATCCATATCTTCAGAAACTTTCTTGCAAGGTGCCTGCAGAAGTTAAAAAAATGGAGACTTAATTTTCAGGAAGACAGTAACATGATAACAATGGGTCAAGGAATAGTCTCAGCACCTTATTCTCAGCTCCTTGAGTCTTCCACCTTTGTTCCAGCTGTATCCAACTCTGTAAGCGACCTTTCTGATGTGAATTTTGCGCATTTGTTTTGCTTCGCCACGAGATCTGACATAGTTTAAACGGGGTCTTACTGGATCTGAGTTTCCGCCGCTACTTTGCATTTTTCAAGCGGCTATTATACAGAGCACCGAATCGTATCACTTCTCATATACAATCATCCTCATTTTACACTTTGAAGGCTGTTGTAGCTTACATGACAAAATTACCTTCATTTATCCTCACGTTAAAACTCTTTACAAAGTGCCGCGCGTTTGTTTTTCCTTATCACGTGACCACTTGGTGTCTTCGATACACAGTTGTCAACAGCAACAACCTCCGCTGCCGCTCCACACTAAACTGGTTGTGGTAGTTGTAAGAGTCAAGGTCTGCTTAATAAACTTCTCAATATGGGGTGGTGTTTTTCATACACCTCCCTCTACAACAGTTTACATTCTGAAATGTTTACTTCACACGGGAAGAACGTACTTAAGGTCCCCTCAGTTTAACGACGATGACACGAAATGTCAGTCGTTGACTGCCCGCGAGGACGGGGTCTTTATTTTCATACGGACCACCAGGAGACAAGCGGTGGAGAATCACAAATCGAGCGAATCCTGAGACAAAATATGGCCGTCTCTAATAATGCCTGTCAAGTGCCTTTTACCGTAGTATAAAAAAATCACTACAACGCTATTTACATTTTCAATATGTTATATACATACGTATAAACCAATTTATTGGGAAATTAATTGTCATATATTGATTTAGATTTCAAAATAACTATCGCCAACGAACACCTGCCAATTTTAATTTTTACAAAGGCGCGCTGGTCACGGCGTAATCTTTGCCAGGACCTTCTTAAAGCGGTGATCAGAGGAAAATTTCTGCTACGACTTAGAAAACAGAGAAAGAGAAGACTATTATTTGAGATTTCACCGGTTCCGTGTGATTTAATTTGTTGTTTTGGACCAGTCTTATTGTGTTAGGTTACCCCTCTATAGTGTGTGCTCCCTGAAATCACAGCGACAACTCTACCGGCTCACGATTTTGTGCTCGCTGGGTGGGCATTTATCCCCAGTCCCCCAGCTAGTTAGCTAGCTGAAAGTGCTAGGCTAGGCTAGCCAGCTAACTAACGTGATCAGCTCGGCCGTTAGCGACCGGCATTCCCCACAGCATTCAAACTGAGTAAGTCCGTCTTTTGCCAAAATTTGACTTGCAAGTCGGTTGTCTACACAACTTTTGTGCCATGAATTCACCTTATGGTTAACTGTGTGGGACGCTACCATCGTTTGGCTAACCCTGTATCAATCTCTTGGCTAACTAGTAGCGTTTATTTCCTAAAGCTGAAATGATAGGGAATGTTTTGTATTAAAATGTTTACATGTATTTAACTCGCTGGATCCTTTCATTGCAAAACGGCTTCGTTTACAACTCAAATGCGATAGCCAATTAGTAAATTGACGTAAATGCTTTGTAATATAATGACATGTCAGTTCTCAGCTGCTGTCAATTAAATTGCTAATTAGCCAGCAACAACCTGAGACTCTAGGGTTGTTCTTTAACTGCCCGGTGCAGGTAAGTTCCATGAGTTTTTCTTCACGACAACTTTTCTATAATTTTGTTTTCTCGTGCTGCCTAGTTTAAGATGCCAATACATCTGATATATTTTGCAGCAACAGAAGGAAGCCGTGCTTTTGTTTTTTTTTTTTTTTTTTTTTAAATCTTCGGAACATGCGTCCTTTCATTTGAAGTAATTGGCCTTTAAGACTGTATTTAGTGGCCTTAGTCGAGTATAATTGACTTGTAAATGTTAACTTGTCATCCACAGGTGTAGAGTCATTGGTGGCTGAGACACTGTCTGCACTGACTGAAATCCATCATGGAGAAAGATGCCTGTGTAGAGCCTAAGAATGGTGAAGCTGCTGTCGACCAGCCTAAGCTGGCAGCCACAGCTCCTTACAGATACACTAAGGTGACAAAATGCCAGCTGTGTCATTGTTTATCAAGTTTAGATGTTGCTGTGAATTAAACTAGACTATCAATTTATTTGCAGGAGGAGCTTTTGGAAATCAAAGAGCTGCCAATCTCCAATGAAAGGCCTGAATGTCTCTCTGAGAAATATGACAGGTATGAATTTGTAAAAGTCACACTGGGTAATACTGGAGAGGAGATTATGCTTCTCAAATGAGAAAGCATGGGTGAATTCTAGTTAGGAAAAGTACTAGTATTTCTCTATGCTGTGAAATACTGATTTTTGACACAGACCAACAGTTATTCAAATGTATGTTTTGCTGGAACTGAAGTGTATGTAATCAAAAGTTACTTTGATTAAACAAGGTACAGCAGAGGAGTTTCTACACAAATATGTTCACGGTCTTAACTAAAATTTGCATAAAGTTTGTAATAATCATTGACATGGTTTAACTGTCAAGAAGACTTGCTCCTGCTTTTTGGAAGTCACGTGTACTTTCAGCTTGTCTCTTGCTCGGAGCTCATTTAAATTCCTTGGGGTAATTCTTAAACAACAGTCAAAGATTTGTTCAGATGTCTGCTTGAGAAGCTAAACAAACGCTTGCGCTAGAAGACTTGTATCTTTGTCCCATAGCTGTTAGAGCCAGGAACAGTGGTTATGACTAGGGATGGGTACCGGTGTCCGGTGCCATGATGGCACCGGTTCTGACATAAATGGTAGTAACCAGACCGAAAAGCAGCGCACATTTCGGTGCTTTTTTTTTCTTGAGCTGTGATACACTTCTAGCCAATCATTTTACGTTTCCGAGGATAGTAGGCGGGCCCAGGAACGTACGTTCTTTTAGAGCAGAGCTACAGATTAAAAATGTCCAAGGCGAAGTGGTCAAAAGTCTGGCTGTACTTCACAGCAAAATATGCAAACTCAGCAGCCTGCAACAAGTGCTTTAAGCTGATACTGTGATACTGTCAAAGGAGGTAACACCTCAAATCCGATGAAACACCTGGCGACGCATAGCGTTTTTTTAAAAGCCGAGAAATGTGCCGTATTTGATAGCTTGCTGCGAGACCTCACACCGAGCACATCTACTGCGGGTGGGTTGCCTGTTATGCAACATCCCCCAAAAACACAAAGACGAGAGTCCTGGCCCCTAGCCCTGCCAGTGTAGCAGAAATGATGACGGATGATGATGGCAGCAGCAGCCGTTCTTCTCTGCGTGAGTAGCTTCATGTTGTTCATGTGTAATTTACGTTGAGTAGGCTAACCACGTTATTACATTAATGCATGTAAGGTGAACTAGCAAACATCATCATAGCTACATGCGGCTGTCCTCTTGTTTGATGGCAGATACTCCCTTCACCCTGGCCAAAAAGGCTAAAAAGACCAAAGAAAAAGTGGAAAACAGTTAAACATGAGAGGTTTAGGACAAAGTTTGTGTTTTTTTTTCCATTGTTTAAGCACTGCTTCCAGCCAAGAGTGATACCATATATGCCCCATAGCTGCAGAAAAGGCTAACATTGTTATCTTTTTACAAAAACCAGCTGAACATGAGAGGTTTTTGGACCAATTTTGTGTTCTCCATTCTTTAAGCACCGGTTTGAGCACCGGTTTGAGCACCGTTTGAGCACCGGCACCGTTTCAAAAGTACCAGTTTGGCACCGGTATCGGATAAAACCTAAACGATACCCATCCCTAGTTATGACTATATGAAAAGTGGGCTCATTAAAGGGTGGGTCAAGCTGTTTTTTGGGGTTTTATTTTTAATCATTAAAAAAGAGAGACCTCTTCACCCCTTCAAAGCCTACTAGGAGTTGCCCTCGAAGATCTTTTCTGAACTGAGCAGTTTGTCATTATTTTTTAGATCTGCTTATGTTTGCAACCGTTAGTGTGGTGAGGTGTGAGGGTGGTCTCTGCCTAGGCAGCTACTCTTGCTAAACCCTTCAAACAGTTTTAGTTGTCATCTAATCACATCTTTATTGATGGATACTGAAGTGTCAGAACTCGTCATTAAGTGTAATGTCTTTATGGGAGAGTTCACGAATGACTTCAGATTAAATGTGATTTGTCTCAACTGTTGGAAAAAATGTTTATAGTAGTCTGTCATCAGAGTTAAACACTGCTAGTGCAACAGTATCAATTAGTTTATTATTTTGAAGATCTGATTTTCTTGCACCCTCCTTTTGGGTTGTATTCTGTGCTCACAGCATAAAGGTTGAAATGGATGGCCTCACCTGTGTATTGTATTTTTCATTGTTACTCTTTATTTATTTTTTCCTAAACAGGATCCCAGTTGAGGCTGCAGTTGTCTGTCTTAATTTGAAATTTGACTTAAAGTATGGACTTAAGTCTTGTGTGGCTATTGTTTGTTTGTTTTTAAATAGTGATGGTGTCTGGGACCCTGAGAAATGGCATGCCTCATTATATCCCACTTCAGAGCGAAGCTCACCTGTGGAAGGTTTTAAGAAGGACTACATGGATGACAGAGTTCCATTAAAACGAAGAATCCCAGGTAAATGGAGATCGACAAACCATGTGACTATCGTGCATTGCGTTGTAGGTACGAGTGGCAGCAAAATCAAAACACTGCATCAAGCACTAGCATTTCCAGTAATCATTAATTCTGTGGTTTTAATCCCTAGTTATGTACAAAACGAAGCAGAACAAGGCAGGTCCGTACAAAGATAGACTTGACAAAAAGACAAAAAAGAGACCATATGCGCATACAGAGTGGACTAAAGACGTTAGCGTGCTGCCCAACTTTCATCACGCACATATTTATAATTATGTCTTAAGTGTGAGTGCATACACTCACGAAGTGTTTAGTAACTTCAGATTCCTGCAACAAGCCCAGGTCCAATTTACTTTGGTGTATCTATTTTCTGATTTGGACTATTTCATTTTACAGCTGTCATTAAAAAAAATTTCTGTATCTCGTTTACAGGCCAACACAATCTATTTGTCTTTTCAGGTTGTAGTATTACACAACATTTTTAGATCCAATAGAAATAAAATAAGTGTTTCATAATTTATTCAATTTATTGTCTTTATTTATAACTGGCACTATTGTTTCATTTTATTATAGAATCTTACAAGAAAGAGGCAAAATTGTATTCCATTGTACTTTATTAGCTGCTTCGCTGAAAAAAAAAAAAAAAAATCAACACAGCAAAAAAAAAAATCATTGCAAAACAACATACTGGAAAACAGTTATTCATCACTTGATTGCTTGGGCACATATATGCGGGACTTTTCGTGGCTGTTTTGATGTCGCTCCCTCTGTCAACCGAGCAAATCTTGCTGTGGTAGCAGCTTTAAACTCTGTATAACCCAGGTTAACCCAGTCGGAAACATGACTTGAACAATTTTTCTTCCACGAAGGAATCTGATAAAAAAAAAAAACGATCTCTTTACCTGTCTGCTTCCCGTGGCTGTCATGCGACCGGCTATGGCAGTAAATAATACAGCAGCTTCTTGCCATTCTTTGTGTCTCTGTTTATCTCTTTGTGACTGTTGTCTTGTAATAGCCCGTGCACGCTAGTACCAATTGCCACTTGTACCTACAATCCTTTGCGATTTTACCCCCGAAATGATGTCACATTTTCGATCTCTATTACTGATGGTAGAT